ATGATAGAATTAAATGCTCGTTTATACTAATATTCTGGAAACATGATAATATTTACTTATTTATTTTTAATGTAGGAATCTTTTCACTTCAGGCGTATACGCAGAAGTGTGGGCGTGAGAGTGTAGGGGAACCTATCTAAGCCAAACAATTAAGATGTCGGCTAAAAATATTTATCAATTATCCTATCGTATACATATATTTCGATTTTATATTCACTGCAGAAATAAATACACTATTTATTTATTCTATTGAATTAAATTTAGGATTTTTATATAAAAAAAACCACAAATCATTTAAAACTTGTTCTTTGCAAAAACTAATATTAAACATTTCATAAAAAAGACTATGATTTGTTTTAGGTTTATGAGAATCACTGAAATGAAAATATTTTAGTGGAAAGTAAAATCAGGGCAAATGTAGATGACGAATTTCATAAATCAAATGTCATCGTTGAGTCAAATTTATAACTATGTGAATTGAATATGTGTCTTCCTCAACTCGCAGCGCGGTAAGCTAACCCTTCAAAATTAATATAGAGTCAGTCAAAGAATACTATAAAATAAATCTCTTTACTCCCCCCCCCCTCCTAGATTCTTTTATAACTCAAATGAATGAAAGTTTCTTGATTAATCGGGCAGCACGCGCAAATCTGCAAATATACTACATGTACCGCATAATCCTTCCGTATAATATTCCAAATTTTGATAGAGAAAAATTAAATATTTGGCAGATTTTTATCGTGAGCGATGGGAATTTTTTTTCTTTCTACACTGGATGGATTAAATTTACAATTAACTAAACATTGATAAAATTTTTAGAATAATGCTTCCAGCCGCTTATTTTATATCTTAATTTGTATTCTGTAACCAAACTTATCGTATAATTTTTAATGCATACGTATATCTACTTATCACATATACTTTTTAATAGTGTAATATCTATAATTTAACTACACTATAACATAAGTCATTAAAATATTATATAATGATCAGTATAATCCATGAATCTAAAAGTATATAAAATATTTTTATTAATAAATCACTTTTTATACATAAAAATTAGAGGGAATGTAAATTAATTATTAAAAATAACATATTTGAGTGTGTATATTTTAGTTATATCGTACATTTATGTATTTATTCGCTTTTTCGACTATTTTTAAAATTTTATTCCATATAGCATAAATTAATTAATATTCCTTTTAGCCCGCAAAAATCGTTTAATACGTTAAAGACATTAATATTCCAAAATTTACCTTTTGCAACTTAACCAGGTGGAATATTTTAACCGTTTTACCAATAACAGCTTACCCCAAGTACAAATCGTTATTACTTGACTTATAAAGCTATAACTTCAGATAGATTTTATTTTTATAATTAAGACTTTAAGCAACATGTATATCAATAAATCATGATGATAATTCATTTAAAATATATTATATCAAAAAGTGATACTTATAATTTATGGGTAAAAAATGGTTTCTTACAAAAGGTGAATATAAAAAATGAAATTTTTTTTACAAAATTTTTAAATAAACTTATTATAATCTTTGTACTATGCTAAATAAACTAAATTGACTTCGTTTAAAAAGATTAATATAATTTTTATAACGTTAAAAAGATTAATATAATTTTTATAACGTTAAAAAATATATATAATTTTTATAACGTTAAAAAGATTAATATTATTTTACTGGTAACAGATTAAATCATGGAGAAATTTTCATATATTATTTTTTTATTTTTTTTTTATTATTTTTTTTAAAATATATTTTTATATTTATTATTTTTTTTAAATTTAAAAAAAATCTTAAGTATATTTAAGAATTTAGAAAAAAAGAGTATATTTAAGAATTTAGAAAAAAAGAGTATATTTAAGAATTTATAAAAAAAGAGTATATTTAAGAATTTAGAAAAAAAGAGTATATTTAAGAATTTAGAAAAAAAAGTATATTTAAGAATTTAGAAAAAAAAGTATATTTAAGAATTTAGAAAAACAGAGTATATTTAAGAATTTAATAAAAATAGGTATACTAAATAATTAATCAATATATTGGTGAAATTTATGTTATCCATTAAGAGGTAAAATGTTAAATTTAAAAAACTTTGATATTGTATCAAAAAATTTCCTTCAAAATCCACACGATATTTATTTATCAAAAAAAAAATCGAAAAATACGCCAATTGAAAGAAAAAGGTAACATTCAAAAATTTCTACCAAAATCCAGACAATCTAAAAAAAATAAAAAAAAAATAATAAAAAAAATAAAAATAAAAAAAAAATAATATATGAAAATTTCCCCAAAATTTCCCCATGATTTAATCTGTTACCTTTTTACTATATTAAGAAATACTATTATTTTTACTACGTTAAAAAAGTTACTATTATTTTTACTACGTTAAAAAATTAACTATTATTTTTACTACGTTAAAAAAATATACATGAGGGAAGCAAATTTAATATTGCTTATTTTTTTTAATAGAAAAAGAGAAAATCAAGCCATGGTAATTGTGTAATTTTACCATTAAAAAATAAGCATTGATGGGGAAGCAAATAAAAAAATGCTTATTTTTTAAATAAATAAAAGAGAAAAAATTTTTTTTATATAATATTTTTTTCCTTACTTTTTTAAAAATAAAAAATTTTTCGTTTTATAAATCCTTAATTAATAATAATTGTAATTGTATTATTGAAAATTTATTAATATTATCATTTAGCTCAAGAAATTTTGATGGGAAAAAATTGATTATTGAAAAAGGAAGACCAAAACCAATTTTTACAAAACTTAAAAAAAGAAATCAAAACTTGCATCCAAAATTTTTCTATCGATAAATATGAAAAATATGAATGGCTCACTGGATGTCAATTTTCTAATTTTTTATATTGTTGGTCATCCTATTATTCCCAAAGAAAAAATATGTTTGGTATGATAAAAGATTTTCGGATATGAATAATTTTTCAAAGGCAGTTAAACGGCATGAAGAATCAACCGCTCATTTGCAGTCGATGATTCAATTAAAAAATATGATAGATTCGATGCGCAAAATATCAATCGAACAGCATAATTCTAAAGTCAAATCAAATAGATAAATATTAAAAATATTGATCAACTCTATATGTTTTCTTGGAATTCAGGAGCTCGTATTCCGTGGTGATGATGAATCTTCTAATTCAGTAAATAGAGGAAATTATATTGAATTAATTTACTTGCTCGCGAAAGAAAATTTACTATTGAAACATCGTTTAGAAATAGCGCAGTTTTTATTGGAATATGTAGCGATATTCAAAATGATTTGATAATTCTATTTCATATGTCTTACATCAAAAATATTAAATTCGTCGAACTGTTAGATATTAGTAAATTCCAAATAATCAAAATTTCTGAAAATATTTATTAGATAATTTAAACGACACTTATTCTCAATTTTTCGACCTACACAAGCTAGAAACCGAATTAAAAATAGTGTTTCGGGATGTTGAATTTAGAAATAGAAAGAATGTTAATGAAATACTTAAATTTTTAATATGCACCGATTAAATGAAAAGTTTTAAAGAATTTTTTAAATTATGAAAATTCATCTTAAATTTTGTTTCAACAACAGCAAGTGCAGAACGGAGTTTTTCATCATTAAAAAGAATCAAATCTTATTGTAGAAACAGGATGAGCCAAAATCGATTATCAAACCTATCTTAGATTTCGATTGAAAAAAAAATTTTTTAAAATTTAAAATCTAGCAATATCTTTTATAATGCAGTACTATCATTTTACTCAAAAAAAAGACGAATACCACTTATTTAAAAATCTTAATGTTTTTATGGTTGAGTTTGACCAAAATAAAGTAAAAAAATTTTTTGATTGCTTCCCTAGTAATGAACCTGACGCTTCGTCACTGGTAGAAGTACCCATTTTGGCTAACAATAATTAAGTTCTACTAGAAATATATTATATGACTCTTTTGCAGTTTTAAAATCTATTTAGACATTGTATATAATAATTTTGTCCATTGTATTAAACCAAATAATAATAAATTTATCATGTTTACATAAAATAAAAATAAAATTATTTACGTTATCGGTAAATTTGTAAAAATGTAATTTAATTAAATATAAATTATTAATTAATTTTATAAAAAAAAATAAGATAATTTACAAATATATTAGTAATTTAAACAAAATCTAAGTTAGAGATAAGAACAAGTGGATTCATTTGTTTCTTGATAAATAAATAACTGAAAAAAATATTTTATTTTGGAGGTTATTTTGTGATGATATGAAAACTGTTGTTAAAAGACCCTTAAGATTTTAGCTAAAATAATATTATCTAATCCTTGAGATTTGGTAGAGTTCCAAACCTTTCTGTTATCTATGGGGAAAATCTCCAGGCTTTCATAACATTATGCCATGTTAAGGACTTTTCAAAAAAATTTAAATCGGGTTTTTACAACACTAAATATAAATATGAATTAAAAGAGGACAAAAAAAAAGGTATAAGTTTTATTTATTAGTTGGTAGTGTTTCATCTAGTTTTATTAGTGTTGTTAAATGGCTCGTCTTGAGCCAATTTTTAAAAACGGCTAACTAAACATTTCATCCAGAATAGTATTATGCAAGCCTGTAGATTTTGTTTGTAGAAGGAACAAAGGTTTGGAGATCTATTAGCAAGATCTCGAAACTTAGGCAATATTTTTCTAGCTAAAATATTGAGTTAGCCGTTTTTAAAAATCGGCTCATAACGAGCCGTTTAATAAAACAAAAACGGTTAACTCAATATTTTAGCCAGAAAAATATTGGCTTAGCCTTGAGATTTCGCTAATAGATGTCCAAACATTTGTTCCTTATACAAATAAAATCTTCAGGCTGTATTAATGTTCTAGATGAAATATTGAGTTAACCGTTTTTAAAAATCGGCTCAAAACGAGCCTGTTAATAACACTAGTTTCATCGTTTCGTTATTGAATGTATCGAAACACAAACTATAAAATTTTTACAATCATTCAGGCATTAAATCATATGATGAAAATGCTACAAAGTAAAAAAAAAATGATTATATTTTGCTAACCTATTTATAGAGTTAAAAATTGCTTTGATACAATTGAGTGTATGTGAGGAGAAGACAACAAATTTAAATAGAGTTAAAGATTTTGTACAGGAGGCTGTTAACAAAGGAGCACAATTAATTGCCTTGCCAGTTTTTAACTTTTTATTTTTCATATAGAAACTTCATTTTCAGGAATGCTTTAATTCTCCATATGGGAATAAATATTTTAGGAAGTACGCTGAATCTATTCCTGGGGAAACATCTGAACTAATGTCTAAATTAGCCAAACATCATAAAATTCATTTAGTGGCAGGATCTATACCAGAAAAATATGAAAATGATTATTATAATACTTGTTTAGTATTTGATACAGATGGAAAATTATTAACCAAATTCAGAAAGGTATGCATACTTTATTTAATATTATAATTCCTTAATTTAAATGATAATATTAGATACATTTATTTGACATTGATATACCTGGAAAAATGCAGTTTAAAGAATCAGAAACTTTAAAACCTGGATACAATCTCTCTACATTTAATATATGTATCCATTTAAAATATATTGCTTTATTTATAATTTTTTAAATAGCAAACATAAAATTTGGATTAGGAATATGTTATGATCTAAGATTTCCAGAATTAGCTTTGCTTTATAGGAAACATGGTTACTTTTGTTTAAACTCATTAATTTATTTCATGACCTTAATTTTTCTTTAAACATCAATATTATGCCTAAAATTTATTCTCCTAATTTACATAAAATTTTTAAGATAAATTAAATAAAACTTATCTAATTCTACCTTTTTCAATTTGGGGATTGTTAAATTAATCTGTATTTTCATTAATTTAGTGCAGATATCACATAAGGCAGGTTTACTATTTAATAAAACAAACATAATGTGGAAGTTATAAACTTATTAACATATTTATTGTAACTTCCTTATTATATATTCTTTCAAATTTTGATAAAATAATTTCTTTTAACAGATGTATTAATTTTTAAAGAGTTTATTGATTTATTTTTAGTGTTAGTAACTGCTCAATTTGAGCCAATTTTTAAAAATGGTTAACTCAATATTTTAGCCAGAAACATATTGTCTAAGCCCCTCGAGGATTTCATTAATATATGTCCATCTTTGTGCCATCTACAGGAAAAAATCTTCAGGCTTACATAAATCATTGAAAATTAATTATTTAAGGTATCGCCATCAACTGTGATACTCTTAAAATCTAGAATAAAAGATTAATTCAAATTAAGTAAAATTTCTATTTTGCTCTGATATCTTCAATATATTTAGCAAGTTTTTATGGAAATATAATTATTTGATAACTATCAGAATGGGGTAAGAAAATCCTCAAAATTTGGTTAATAGATCTCGGAAAACATTTTCTACTTTTCTATATTGTAAAATCTCTAGGCTTGCACGATAGTTTTTTGGGTTAAAATATTGGGTTATTCATTTTTAAAAATGAGCCGTTTAACAACACTAGGTTAAAAGGATTTTAAATGCTTAATGGATTTTCACCTTTAGTTTTAATATTTAAATATTTTAAAAAAAATAGGAATATCAAATTATAATATGGATCTCCAAATAATTAAAGAACTCTATATCGAAAAGCTTGTTTGAAGATCCGACCTGAACACATATTTTAAAGAAGGTCTGATCCGACCTCAAAATAATCGAATCCACCCCTTCCCCACCCCTTCCCCCCCAAAAAAATTAAAGAAATATAATTATAAGTTGGCTTATTACTTAATAGCCCAAAAAAACGTTAAAAAAACTGGAATAAAATACGAAAAATAGCTAAAATAAAACAAAATAAGTTGGTCACGATTAAATACATTTTAGCGTAGACTAAAAAGCAATTAAGTATCCAAGTTAAGCCGAACTTAAGACACGGCCTATATGATTTTTTTTTTTCAAGGAAAGCTGTAAAAAAAAATTTAAATCTGTTTTTTCATTTAAATTTTTTACCGAGTTTCGAATCTAGCCCGACCTAAATAAAAATGATAAAATCAAGTTATTTCCGGAACAAGATGGGGGAAGGTGTTCTAGTCACTAACTCGAATTTCGAAATTAGATTTGCAATAGGTTTTACTTGGAGATCTTAAGCCACGAATGAACATTTTCGATAATATGGAATGTGGAGTGGGAGGGAGAGAGGGGGGTTGGGTAAATATTTTTTTCGCCATTTTTACAAATTATTTGACCAAATCTGTTTACTTTTTCTTTTTTTTTATATTTAAAATAAAATTCCGTAACCCCTTCCTAACCACACAACGGATACTTAAAAAGGGTGTCACGTGTTATTATACCCCGGAGCGTTTAACCTGGTAACGGGCCCTTGCCATTGGGAATTATTGATAAGATCGAGGGCTTTAGATAATCAGGTATACTGCGCCGCCATATCACCGGCTCGTAGCGCCGATTCCGATTATAAAGCTTACGGGCACACCTTAATATCCGATCCTTGGTAGAGAATAGTATATATTTTTTTTATAAACCGAATTTTATGATTATAATGATGAGCAACCATTCACGGTTCATTACTATGACCGTTGGAAACCAAAATCAAAAGTTCATAAATCCAAAGAAAATTTTTTTAATTTAGAATTTATATTTTCCCGGCTCCAGTGTTGTTAAAGAGCCCGCCGATTAAGATTTTAGCTAAACTAATATTAGCCAGCAATGAGCAAAATCTTTATGGCTTTACATAATGTTATTTTTGGTTATGATCTTAATCGGGCCGTATAATTAGGGCTTTTTAACAACCACTACTCGGATCTTGCAAATGCAAATGGTTTTAGGCCGAATTCATAGTGGGATCGGATCCGACAAAATTTAACAGCTGATCGATTTTTAAATCGGTTTATGAGAATCAATTTTTTTTAAAAATAATATTAATTTTATCTTTAATTCTATACATGATAATGACCTAAGAAATATTGGTTTTAATTAAGAAAAATTGATTCTCATAAACCGATTTAAAAATCGATCAGCTGTTAAAGTTTGTCGGATCCGATCCCACTATGAATTCGGCCTTATAAGCATAATTAAATTCTGTATATATTTTTTTACGTGTATTATAAAAGGGGTAAAATAATCGGGCAAACCGACGAAAAGGAGGGCATAGTTTATTCCGCAATAGGTTTTAAAAAAAACATTTAAAAAACTATTTATATATATATATGTGTGTGTATATAAATAAATTATAATTTGCTTGGGCTGAAATTCTATCCACTTCGACAAATTCTGCAGATAGAAAACCCTGAAATCCCTTGTTTCCCAACCTCGTAGGATCTTCCATCCTAAGCTTATCATTCTTTTCGGCAAATAACCTATTGCTAGTTCATACCGCTCCCGTCGCATTGGCTATTTCTCTTATGTCTCGAAAGACAGAATATGGGATCTCTCAATTTTAAATCGTTTACCTTAGGGACAATTTATAAAATTTGAAGAATCTGATTTAACCATGAGTCTTATGACAAATTTTTTTTTCGGAAACATTTAAACCAGTGTTACGAATCCGGTAAAATTATTTACCAGGTTCGGTTCAGGCTAATATTTTTTACACCTGGGTTTGGGAATTTAAATCTCGTTTATGATTATTAGAATTTCAATTTTTTTTTTAAATTAAAAATATTCATAATTTAAAAAAAAAATTAGAAATAACATTTGGTATAAAAGATAAAATTTTTTATTTATTGACAAAATATATTTAAAAATACAAAACATATTCATGAATCGATTTTTTAAAAAAAATTATTTACATATTAGCATAATTATCTTCCAAGAGTCGTTCGCTCATCCTCGATCTTTGCAGCGAAAGAATGGAATGTGTCAAATTAACTTGGGTTGTAAGTAGCGGACCCTTGGCTTTGAGAACGAGTGCTTCAACTTCCTTGGGTTTAGTCATGGAAGGGTAGTAAATTTCAGGTAATGACAAAATACTACTTAAAATAATTTTATAATAAAGTAATTACAAAGACGTGAAGCGAACGATAGAAAAAGGCAATGAAAAATTCACAGAATTAATGCAGGATTACTTTATTATAAAATTATTTTAGTAGTGCTTTGTCATTATAATGAAATTTTTTTCAAATAAATACCGCGATGGGGTCCCAAAGTCATATGGGCCACGGTACCCCACTAAAAACATCCAGTTTCCCCTTCTAGGGAGGGAGGTTCAGTTTTTTTAGACGGAAGCCAGCTCATTTTTAGAGATTTTGCGGTTTTTTTTTCAGAATTATAATAAGACTAGGGCCTCATTTATAGTAAATGCGTTATCTTCGAGTGTTGCGTTATTACAAAATAAAGCCACTAAATAGGTATAAATTTAAAAAAATAATAGCGAATTCCATAAAAAGGTATGTAATTTTTCTTAAATATTATATAAAATAATTATCCTTATTTTAGATTTTTTTTAAAAACTCGTTTTTAAAACTGAATCAGCTGTAATAGCGTTGTGTTAAATAACGTTGCCTTAAATAACGCAAAGCTTGAAGATAGCACGTTTACTACAAACCCAGTTTAAATCAATAATGAACATTAAAATATTTTTTAAAAAGGCGCAACCGTTTGTATACCAACAAAGTCAGCGCAAAAATTAATGTATATTGAATTTTACTTGCTCTGGATACAATAAAGCTACTCTACAAATACATTAAATTGGATAATTTATTCAATTGGGAAAACTGAGGGGCCTTTCTTTCTGGGCAAGCCGCACTTACTTGTACGCGCAATAGTCCTAAGACTATTACTTAAACGTCTGTGGACTGATTTAAAGTAAATGGGCAGAGAAACACGGCCCAAGCCCATGAATATATATGTATTTAATTACTTTATAGGTGAGGAACCATTTTCTATGAGATTAATTTTTTTTATCGATTATTATTAATTTCATTTGACAAAAAAAAACTAATAAAATTTATATCATCATTTTCCTTCGATCCTTTTTAATCTGAGCCTTTACCTGAATATATACATAAAAAATTTTATTCAGGGAAACGTTATTTTTATTATCAAGTTTCAACTTACTAGATTAATTAATTAAAAATGTCCGTACATAGATGTCAGCCTCTAGCTCTCATTTTGTGGTTTCTTCGACTAATTACCTTTATTTATCATTATAATGAATGCACATAAATGTCATTTGTTCGGCGTCAGCTGACTCCTATGTATGATTTAAAAATGCATTTAATGAATGAGTCAATCTAGTAGTATTTATATATTTATATGTAGTTTGTATATACATATAAGCAAATAAAGAACAGTATATTTAAATAATGTAAAAATAAAATTAACCTTTATTGTTTCTAATTATAATCCATATATCATCATATAGTTCCTAATAAATAAAAATTAAAAAGTAAGTAAAAAAAAATTAATATTCAAAATAAAATCATCATAATATCATTAAAAATCTGGCATGATCATAATGAATGAAGGATCTCAATTTCTTCTTTCTATTCAACACCACATATATCTACATATATAACATCTCCCCTCTTTATTTCGCCCTGCCCCGTCCTTTGATTCCTCTTCGTTTTCATCATCTATCATCGTTTCCGTTTTTCTCTCATCCTGCTCTCTCAGTATTGACTTCCCTACAACCCAAATCCTAGCTTTGTGATCAAGTTTTTAGGTTGTTATTTTTTTTTATAATTCCCTTATCTGATGTACTCGTACATCAATGCTCTAATTCTTTCGTCATGATCATATGTCAACTACTACAATTCCCCGTTTCCTCCATCACCATTTGCCTTATTCTTCATCGTTATCACTTCCTTTAGGCACCCTTTCTTCCCCTCTTAATCAATCATTCGATTTTGAACCAATTCATATACATCATAGCAAATCATCATTTCAGCTTGCATATTGATACCAGACATCACTCGATCCAATCATCCATCTGTCCTTGAAACCAACATCATTCGTTCTTGAACTAATTCATCAGACATCATTCTTATTCTATAAACTGTTAATCCTATCCTCCCATTTGACCATTCATCATATCATTTGACCATTGACCTACAACCTTTTGACCATTCACCCTATCCTTTGCCCATTGACCAACCTCTATCCATCTGATTCCCATTTAATTGACAATTTTCATTGACCATTCCATCTTACCCCATCTCAATCTTCCATGCTATCATTTCATTTACATCTCAGTTGCTCACCTGATCCACATTTCTTCCTCAGTCCCGGGTTTCGGCACCACTGTAACGATATTGGTTTTGATAATATTATTCACTAATGGTTTATTGCACTGAGTGAGTGCGTTCGATAGATCTGAGTACGAATCCAGCAAGGGCTACTTTTTCTGAAGCCAACTTTGTTCGTACTTGTGGTGGGGGTTGATATATAAATATAGTAGATCAGCCTAACCTTATTTCAATAATATATTATAAAAAATAAATGAGTCTTATAATATTTTGACAAAATTTGGTCGTTATTTAGCAAATAGTATGACATGCTACTTGCCGTAATTTAAAAGGGTTAATGTTCTATCAGCTAACTCAAATTCATGTCATTCAATACACTATAATAATGCATTCATCGTAAATGAGGGGAATTAATTTAATTCATATTCTAAAAAAATAATTCTTTTACATTTACAATTTTTTGATAGCTTGTGTAGTGGAGTGTTGATAATTTTATTTATTCTTTTTAAATTATATGAAAGGATTAACATAATAAAAACTTCTAATTAATATCTTGAGAATATCACCATCAAATACGTTAATTTTTTAAGTGTAGGAAAATATTTTTTATAGGAGTTTGCTTTAAATAATTATTTTCATGTAGATGCTGATAGCGTTGTTAAAAAAGACAATTTATGTCGATTTTTATAAACCGCCCAATTAAGTTTTTAGTTAAAATAATATTATATACGCTTAGAGATTTTATTCATAGATGGCAGTAGTATTGTTAAACGGCTCATTTGAGCTGATTTTTAAAAACGGCTAACTCAATATTTTAGATAGAAAAATATTGCCTAAGCCTCAAGATTTTGATAATATATATCTAGACCTTTGTTCCTTCTATGAGCAAATTCTTCAAGCTTAGGTTAATATTTTTCTGGATGAAGTATTGAGTTATCCGTTTTTAGAAATCGGCTCAAAATGAGCCGTTTAACAACTAGTTGACAGTAAGATTTAGACTATTATTTGCTAAACCTCGAGACTTAAATAATATTATTTAGGCTATTGCGAATTTTTTTTAATTGTAAAAAATTCATAATATAAAAATGAAAGATATGGATTACCTCAAAGAAGTGCGAGAACAAATTCCAGTTTCAAAGCAAAAAAGAAATGATATATACAATGTAACTGGACCACTATAGTAATTATTAAACATAATTGTCCTACTTCGTAATATATTTTTTGTTTATATGAATATAATTAATATAATGTCGATCATTTTTGTGATAAAATTTTTATTATATTTTTTATATGAATCATTCTTTGTTTTTTCATAAATGAATTGAATTATTAATTTTTCTCTTGACTTTTAAAAAATATTATTTCTTTTGTGATGAAAATTTCAAAAACAATTAATTTTTCTGTAATTTTTTTCAAAGTATTTTTATCAATTTGTGTTAAAATTTTATTTGAATTAAATATTATTAATTTTTGCTAGAGTTATTTTTATATATTTTAATAAAAATATAAAGGATTATTTTGAGTTATGTATCTTTGAAAGTACGATTATTTTTGGAAGTATTTCTATACTTTCTGAAAGTACTTAGATTTTTGAAAGTAAGTAGTTTTTCTTATATTTTTTTCGAAATTAAGTTTAGTTTTTTCCTCCATTTTGTTAATAATGACTATAACATCTTATAGTTTAATAAATTATTTATTTATACCTTATTATTAATTTGTATTTACATATACACACGCCATGTGTTTTCAAATTTAATTCATTCATTCATTATATGTCAGCTAAAATTTTACGAAGTAATTTAAATTATTTTTACGGTTAATTAATAAAACTGATAGAATTAAAATTAGCTCTAATTCAATTAAATATAAGCGATAATAAACTCGATAATTTTAAAAAGGTTGCTAACTATGTCAAAGAAGCAGCTAGAAGTGGTTCAGCCTTGATTATATTGCCAGTTTTTTATAATTCAAATATTGAAAGAAAAATTTTTATGCTTAGGAATTTTGTTGCAATCCTTACAGTAATACCTATTATAAAAATCATGGTGAAGCTATACCAGGAAATTTATTTTACTTTTTGTCTGATGTGGCAAAGCAAAATAAAGTTTTTCTTGTAGCTGGGTCAATTCCAGAAAAATACAATGGATATTTTTATGCCACCTCTTTAGCTTTTAATCTGAATGGGCAATTATTAGCTCAATTTAGGAAGGTAAATTTTAAAACCATATATAATGAAACCAGATTTATTAGATTCATTTATTTGATGTAAATATTCCAAACAAACTCATCTTTAATGAGTCTTCTAAGATCAAATCAGGAAATCAAATTGTCACCTTTAACATGTGTAATAATAAGCATACTATATATATATATACTTAAAATGATAATTTTTAATAGATAACATAAAAATTGGCTTAGGAAGATGCTATGATTTAAGATTTCCAGAAATGGCAATTTTATATAGGAAATTGGGTAAGTCCTTCGAATTATTTATATATTACTCTCAAAGATTCACCTATACTACCATTTTAGTTGATACTCAATAATAATGTATATTGAAAAAAAGATATAACTTATCTATTTTTTTTAAATTTAAATATCATATATAATTTAATGAAATTCATTAAATTAAAAGAGTTATAGGAAATAATTTCTATTTTTATTGTAATTTATGCATAATTTTTTTATAAATTCATAGTATATGGCCACTTCCAAAAAACGTTTATTCAAAAGGTTTTCCAAGGCACATTTTTCACAATATTTTTTATTTTCAAACAGCTCATTTTTTACATTAAAAAATATTATAATAAATAATTTGTGTAAAAAAGTACTAAATCTCCAGAAATAGGACCAATGCAACTTCAAAACTAATATTAACTTATTAAAATACAAAAAGCATGTAAACTACATTCAAGACCAAATTATTTCCAGATTGCCTATACAAGCAGAATAATCACACTGGATATTTAGATTCATAAGTTATTTAAGAGAAACGTGAAACTGAATTCTGATAGATTATTTTTATTAAAATATTATTCAAGTTTTTATATTTTTATTATTAAATTTATATTAATAAATGTAGATATAAAAAAAGTAGGCTAATATCTTAAATATATAATACATGCTTTCAATATTGAATTAAGAGATGCATTTAAAAATAATAAGATATAAAGATAGAAAATCTATCGATGCTGCTAAATAATTCAAGGTTTTTATTTCTAAATATGTTATTGTTTATAATATTTTAACCCTCTATTGCATACATCATATTTGAATACACATACCATTAAAAAATGTATAAATTTTAATATAAAATTTTTTACAGTTTAATACACATGATGTATAATAGATACACATATATTTATTTATTTCTATAGTTAATTTTGTCAAAAATGAAAGACAGCTATTAATATAAATATTCTAAAATAAGTTTTCAACTTTCGAATTGTTGCATTTTTTCCATTTTATAAATTATGTAATTTCGCTTGTACAAAATTTTAAGGAACAGGAAGTTAAAAATCCTGGTAAAGAAATGTTTTATATAAAAATAATAGTGTTTAAAATTTAAATTTTAAGGTAGGTGTACCCAGATACAAAATGCGCTTTTTTGATTATTTTTTTTTATATTATTAAATGTTCTTTATTTGCTATCTATAGTCAAAATGTCTGTATTCGAGAAGAGTTCTGATTCTAACCTTAGTGGTTCATCAGATGAGGAAATTCTTGATTCAAGATCAGCAGATGTTAGTGGAAATGCGGTATTTCAACTATTGGTGCCACAACATTCCAATTTTAAATTGTGTTTTGTTAATTGGTTCTGTTGGTATGGAACTTCAAGTATTACTCGGCCCAAAAAGGAGTATTTCTACAGCGAGAGCTAATAGAATTTATAATTGCCAGTTTCCAACTGGAATTCTAAAAGATGGAACGTGGATTCACATAAGATCACGTAAATGGTGTCATTGTATAGTAACCATATACTCGATATAATGCTCATAAATCATGGTTAATGTATGGCGAGATTTTGTATCTTTAAAGGTACCGGCAAAAGAGCAGATGCCATTATAAACATTTAGAATTTCAATAGCAGACTCTGTAATAAGTTTAACAAAAATATGAAGGCTAGCCTAAAAAACGAATATCAATTGACACTAAATATAAAGAAAAATCTAGCAAGGGGCCGACAAGTCTTATTACGCAGAAAGAAATAAGACAGGATTTAATAATACATTGGCTAAAATATAGTAAAAAAAAGGCGCGATGCAAAAACCCTGGGTGTAAATTGGTTACGAAAGTGATCTAAATATGGTGTATCATTATTTTTTTACTACAAAAAACGATTGTTTTAAATTATTTCATGAAAATTAATATAAATTTGTTTTATATTTATCAAATAATAAAATTACATATCCTTATCTTGTAATAGGCTTGAAATTGAAAAAAAAAATGGTATTTTTACAGTTCAAAAATTTTTTTTTAAAAAAAATAATTAACTTTTAGTTTATAAAAGCCCTGACAAAAATAAGTTTTTTTTAAAAACATTATATTATTTATTGATATGTCGCGCAATAGAGGGTTAATATATTAAAATTGTATAAAATATTTCAATAACAACATATCTGTTATTTTTTGCTAAGGTTTGTAATTGTTCCAAATTCTGTAAATGTAATATCTGATCCGCTAGATTAGTCATCTAATAATTCCATTATCATAATTTCCTTAAATTCATTGAATACCTTGTTTTAATTTAATAATAGAAATTAAATTAATATATTTATATAACAAATAATTATGCTTATTTAGTTTTAAAAAAAAATCCTTTCATTAAAAATTATAGGGGAAAGGTGTTACTTAACAAGATAACTATTTTACCTTTTAGCCTATGAAATCCACAATTCATCTAATACTTTATTTGGGTAAGTTTGTTTTGTTATTGCATAATATAATATTTAAAAAGGAAATTGTTCACTTAATCGTTAAAAAATATCAAACTAGTTTGATATTAAAAATAACACAATATTGTATGCATTAAAAAAAATAACGTTTTGTTTAGAAGGACACATCTATTAAGCTGTATTTATTTTTTTCTCACTTTGAAAAATGCTGGCCAAATATTTTTTAAAAATAACTGATGGTTTTATATTTTGAGTATTGTCCACAAGTATTGATTAAATGTATAATATTGGTCTGATACTGTTACCATTGATGGTGCATATCAGATAACATACATTAATTCATGATGCATGGTTCTAGATTTTTTCCAGATTCTTATACCTTTCCAAGAAATTCTTATACCTTTCCAAGAAAAGGATGAAAAATGCCTATAACCTCCCAAAATAGGATTTTATTTAAGAAATTTTTTTAATTTTCTTTTACAATATAAACTAATGATATCGTAAGGTTTACATTTATATAAATTAAGCAACATTATTTTAAAACCATATTTAGTTATTTTTTCACCAATTCCTTGTTTAAATATTAGTTAATTAAAAGAATAAACTTTTTGTATAAATTGCTGACAGGGTTGGGAGTTAAATTAAGGCGTTTGAAAGCCATACAAGAATTAAATAACTTTAGAGTAGCATGGGAAAGTTTCAGAGAATTTTTTTAAAAAAAAAGTATGATGCAGGCTATTAAAAGCGTTTTTGATATCAAGCTTACAGATTGCCAAGTAAGGGTGGTGGGAAAGGGTTCTATGTAAATTCTTAATATATTAGCCACAATTTCGCAACCGCCCTTGATCTCGTAATCTAGTTGGTGACAGTTTAAAATGTCGACGACATCATGCTTGATACGTTCGAATACGATTTTGACTCTTAAACTTCTGAAAAAGGAACCTACTACATCGGACGGGTACAGCTATCTGGCTTGGTTAAAGGGATTATACGCACTCCGACGCTGAGTTTGTATAAGGATATCCTTATTTATTTTATTACCAAAATTTGTTATCTCTATGATGAGAGTGGGGAAAGATTATTTTTTAAATTTATTGAGTATAGAAAATAAGAGGGTTTTAAACCGCCAAGGAGTCTATTTTTTTATTAAAGGAATAGATAGCGTTGACAATTTTATCACTAGTGATAATTGTGGGGGGGGGGGGGGAATATTCTCTTTAGAAGCCTCGGGGATGAAATTATTTTAAGAGTTGCAATGTTTCTTCGTTGATAGAAGAAAATCGGTTGTCTGAATTGCTCCGCCTATATCACCTTGGTCTATATTATATGATATTATTTCACATTTGTATGTTATATTATCTACTTGCTTTTTTAAAATATCTTTGTGAGTGTAGTTAATCGTTTTGGATGGTATCAAAATCTTCTATGTGCGATTTTATTTGTTCCTGTAACGAGGTCTCTTGTTAACTGGGCATACATGACATTTATGAGAGAAGGTTAGTGAGTCTTCCCATGATTATTAACTTTTATGGAGAAAAAGGAAAGAAGAAATTAATTATATAATGAATATAAGATATTAAAATTAAAACCCGGCCCAAAGACCTGGGAAAAACGGGCCAAAAGCCCGCAAAATTATGGGTACGGATTTTTTTAAATAGGGGTGTCTAGGGATTGTAAAAGATAGTCACGCTACTTAATGTATTTAAAAATTTACCCAACCCAATTGTTGACTGCATTTCCACATATATTATAATAATGATATTTTTTCATCGATTTTTATAACTAAATTCTCAAATGAGTTAGGCCATTTAGATTGACAAGGCTAATTGACACTACTCATGAATGATAAAAAAAACAACTTATTTACTCTAAATAATCCATCTTATAAATGTCAGATTCAAGGGTAATGAGAACCTATGCCAATTTTAGGTTATACATCTAATAATGTTTAATACTTAAATTATATTTTATATAGTTAAAATATTTTTCACAATTACTTTGCCAAATTTGTTTTTATATATTTAAATATGAGGTCATTAATAATTTCGAAAAATTATTAAGATTTAAAAACATATTATGATAGCTTGTAATTTATTATATAAATAATTAATTCTGTTAACCTTTCAATTTTTATCCTTCTTAAGCCAAGGTCGTGAGTTCGAAAACTCGTCTTGGCTAACCAATAGACTTTAAATAAAATCAAAAAGTTATCATTTGTTTAATTTTAAGAAACGAAAATCGTTATAAACAACATTATTATTCACTTAAAAAAAATATTGTACCACATTTATTATACACACTATTATATTTATATATATTATGTCGTGTTTGGGATATGAAATTGTAGCTCTTTGCAATAAATTTAAAACTAAAATAGGTTACCATTTTCCTCGGGCCAGATTTACTCTTTATCTGTTTATATTTCAAATTTTTTTTTAGTATTTATAATTATTTTATTCAATTCTATTCGTTTATACTTTTTCTTCCTTATAAAAAAAAACATGGATAAGGGTGTCACTTGTTACTTTACCCAAGTGCTTTTAGCTATGTAACCGGACCACCTCACTGGGAATTATTGCTGCGAGCTCGGGCTTTGGATAATCAAGTTTATTGCGCGGGTGTATCCTCGGCTGCTGATAATAACCCCGCTGGTCACACAACATTTGGACATAGCTTGGTCACAGACCCATGGTTTAAAAATTTATTGCAATTATATTCGAGACTATAAATATTCCTCCCCAGTAATTGTTTGCTTCATATATATATATATATATGTGTCGTATGGAGTCTCGTAATCCGTGGGGATTCGGAATCTCTAAATTTTAAATCATTTACTAAGAGTGATTTTTGGATTTTAAAAATTCCAGCATGTGTAGAGTATTTACCCTATAAATTCCAGCCAATTTCAGCGATAGACATTTTAGTTATTTTTTAATTTATATGAAAAATCCATATTAAAAATTAATATAAATTAGAAGTACTTCTAAAGTTCATGGCAAAATTGTTTGAAATTTACAGTTTGGGTATTCTACCCATTAGAATATATTTTCGGTTAAATCGAACTTAAATTTTTTTTAAATCGCTCTCGTAAAGGATTTAAAAACAAGAGATTCCGAACCCCAATACGGCATATATATAATTCATAGGAAACTATATTTAAAAAAAAAATTGATTATAAGAATTCTGTTAGTTAATCTTATTTAAGCACATATAACATTTTATGTATTTTTCTTGTATATAGGTATTGATTGATTTTTTTTTTCCTGTACAATTACCAAAAAAAACGGTCTTAAATCATGATTTAATTTCTGTTATATCACAAATCTTGTAAGGAAAGCTCACAAATTAAAATATTTTGTGGCCTAGGACATTACAAATCTTTATATTTAGTTAGTGTATATTACCATTTTCATTTTAAATTTCAAATTTTTTTAAAAAAAATTAAAAAATTCTTGAGTCGTGTCAACGCTGGGAAATTATTTTTGAAACTTATTTCTGTTTAGCCTATGCTATTCGGCATTTGAGCTATGAACACCCACCCTATTCTGGTTTGTTTTAAGTTTGTATTAGAGACATGTGCCGAAATTTTTTTTTTTAATTTCTTTCGGTGCAAATAAAACAAAGACATATTTAGGCCGTTTAGAGGATGCTTATTGACGGCTAAACAGATGATTGTATATACATATTCCGAGCTTTGACACGCCTTAGGCCTCATTTGAAATGAGCGTTATGAACAGTGCTACATGTTGCGTAACCGTCATCGCGTTCGCTATAAATGAGGCCTTTAAAGTAAATAAACGCAGCCCCTGGTCTCTCATTCTTTATTGATTTTTTTAACTGTTTTTTTTTTAAATCATAATTTTTTTTATTTGTGCCTAAAAATGCCAATTAAATTTTTTTTAAAAATTTTTTATTATGACACAGGGGCAAAGTAATCGCTAAAACTGACGAAAAGGAAAGTATCTTGTATTCTGAAATAGGTAAATTTTAACCATGAACATATATATTTTAAACCGGAACTAATTAATATTTTCTATTAATGATGGGAAAATCCCAAAAAAAATTAAAAATTTTAACGATGAACATATATATTTTAAATCTTTTCTATTAATGATGGGAAAATCCAAAAAAAAATTAAAAATTTTAACGATGAACATATACATTTTAAACCTTTTCTATTAATGATGGGAAAATCCAAAAAAAAATTAAACCAGGTCGGGGTGCCTCAAAGACCCCGGGCCCTCAAATTAGTGTCCTCTTCCTTCCCAATGAGGCAGGCCAAACATTCTCTAGAAAATTATTTTACAGGCTAAGCAGGAGTTATCTAAATGGCGGTTACGAAATATTTCGGAGACCTTTCCTCCAAACCCTTTATTTGTCAATCCTTCGGCCGGGTCCCGTCAATGAAAATTTTTGATTAACTATTATTTTTTATTTATTCCCGTAACATCTATAGAAGTACTAATTCTAAAATCTGTACCTAGTTTTTAACCAGTATAGTAGAAAATATAAAGGAAATAATTATTAACAACAAAAATTTTGGTTTAATTTTACTATTAAACAATGTAAAAGAGTTTATTTTGAAAATTTTATCAATGTTTAGTACTTAATTAAAGTGTTTGTTTTAATTCGCTTAGTGGATAGTATAAAGAAAGTGAATAGCAAAATAAGAAAAATTTGAAATAGAACCAGTGGTCGACCCGGGCCAGACTGCACCGTTAAAAAATATTTTATCGAATTTTTGGCCCCTACCCCTCAACATTTTTTGATGAAGGAAGATAAATTTTCTTAATTAGTTTGGCCCAGCAACATCTTTTCGCCCAGCCTGCGGGCCGGGCTACACCGACAACCTCTAGGAAAAACTTAATATTTGGGTTTACGTTAATATTAAAAGCCTTACTAGTATTATGTATGAGTCTTGCGGACTACAAAAATATGAATCAGAAGAAAAGAAAAACTATGACGTCAGACTTTAAACCGGTGGTAGAATAGTTTAAGGGGAGCGTTGATCTGGAGTGAACTCGCACCGGCTCGATTGAACCCTTTGTTAATTTTCTTTTATAACTTACGAGCTTGTTGGTAAGAAAAATTGAAAAGTGATTGCTAAAAAAAACGATAGCGCTGATTAACGAGTGTCTTGTTTGCTATACCTTGGCATGATAATGTTTATCATTTATTTTTTAAAATTAACTTAATTTCGTGTTTCCCATTTGCTGAGAACTGACCAATTAAAAAGGCAATTGAATATTTAAAAGTTGTTTTTTTTTCGGTAATTATTGAAATAGAAAGTTTCGATTAGAATTGAAAGCGGAGTATTTATTTAATTATTATATTAGATTAATAAATTAGATTAATACATATAAATTATGTTTTCACTATGTCGGCTTGTTGTGTTAAAAACGGAATATCAATATCACTCATAATGTCAAACAGCATTTAATTTCGAAATTTTTTTTGTGCCTTTTACCACGGATTCAAATTAATAGGAAAAAAAAATTAAAGGAGCATGTGAAATCTAGACTTTTGACAGTAAATCATTAAAATTCGGTGAAAATATATTTAAATTGTACTCACACTCCATGTGAGGATTGAGAAGATAGATTTGTACATTTAATGAAAAATAGAAAATTCGGGCTTTTAAGATTTTATGGGTAATTATAACGAAACTAAATACTAGTATTGTTAAACGCCTTGGTTTTCGCCAAACGGTTAACTCAATATTTTAGCCAGAAAAATATTGCCTAAGCCTCCAGATTTCGATAATATATGTCTAGACCTTTGTTCCCTCTATGAGCAGAATCTTCAGACTTGGTAATATTTTTCTGGATAAAATTGAGTTAGCCGTTTTTAAAAATCGGCTCAAAACGAGCCTTTTAATAACACTACTAAAGAATAGTTCATAAAATCAAAAAAAAATCGCGGATATAATATGTATAAGCAAAGCTCGCTCGATGAATGAAATAGAGATGCCAACAAAAGATAGAAATTCGTTAACTATGGTGAAACATACCGTAGATTTGGTGAAGCTGAAGATAAGTTTTACAGGTAAACCTTTATCAGATTGGGATGTCGTGTCTCACCTTTGTAATATCTTGGCTTAATTTGATATCTTTCTGGCATCCCCTCCCTTTACCCTCTCTCATCTTTTCCTTTTAAAAATTCGAATTAAATATAGATATTTAAACCATAAATTAACATTAAAAATTATTAATATAAATTATTTTTTTTTGAAAAATTTATCTAAAACAAATAGAGGAAATTTATTCCGAAAAACATGAAATTACCTCAGAATATGTTTTAAATGATTTGGGATCTTTTGACAACGATGTTTAGTTTTTGGACTATTGATTTTAAAAGTATTTAAATTTAGGACTGAAATATCCTAATGTATTAAGAAATAAGGGGTGTGAATATGGATCTTGACGAAAATTCTGAATGTTTATTTATCTGGAGGCAACCTGGTAGTAACACTTGAAGCCTCCTCTAAGATAAGGAATCATAGTGACCCCATCTGGCCGTTAGCCATTTCATATAAATTGGAAAGTCAGTCTCGTACCGCGTTTTAGCTATTTATTACATGGGAGTGATGGGGGGAGGGTGTCTAGTTTCCTGGGAGGGGGGAGGGTAAAAATAAACTTTTTCAATTTCCACTGAACTGGCCTGCGTAATAGTCGAAAGATGGCCATAAGAAAAGAGCGAAAATATTATTGGTCACCGCTTAAGAAAACTCTTCATATAACATAATCCATTTTATTTAAATAAATTTATTTTTTATTTCCCGGTGAAATTTTATAAACCGGCATTTAATTCACAGCCATTTTAATCCTATCGTGATGCCTAATTTTATTTTATATGATATAAAGATATGGATTATTTGGAGGAAGTAAGGCAACAAATGCCCTTGTCCAATCAAAAGAGGGGAGATTTATATTCCCTTGAGTATTATGATGTTGCAGATCCAGAGGCACCATTTTACTCTATACCGTAAAGATTTCAAAATATTCCTCCAATTCATATTATCCATCAATGCAAAATTTACTTATTTTTTTAAAAAACAAGTTTTAAAGCATGATTCCCACAAATTTGAATGCAATTAATATATTATAAAAGAAAAAAATATATATATCCTTACAGTATTTATAAATATTAAAACCGATGCAAATATGTCAATATGAAATTTATAGTATTTACGAATAAATTCAAATTTTTTTTATAACCATCAATGCAATTTACTTATAGAAAACTTTATTTTAACAAATTCATTCATTACCACGCCAGAAATTGCACGAAGTGCAATTTCATCACCCACCAGGAGTTGAAGCGTGCATCATGTATTTTCACTAGTATATAGATCCCATACATGATGTCTACCCGTTTTATTATAGTAGACGGTACCACTATGTAGCCAGTTAGCAAAGTGAAGAAGGAAGAAGTACAATAATGGTGATGTATTAGTTCCATTACCGGCAGAATAGTGTTAAGGAAAAAAATAAAAATAAAATAATGTCATAATAATAATAATGTACCTGCATCCTTAAGTAGTATTTAGTGAGGCACCAAAAAATAATAACCCTTATATCTTGGTAAGTATTGAGAGTTTATGTTAAGTTTGCATGAAGAGTCTCTTCCTTGTTTGTTGTTCGGTGTGCCAAATATCGTATGTTCTATAGATCCTGTATGTGCTGTGCCAATGATATTTGGGTACGTCCGAGTTATTGCGTTATTATTATAACCAGTGTACCTTCTCATTGTCCATTATACAACTAATAGTCTCGTAATTGTTATCGTTATCGTGGCCGATATCGTTAAAAAAAATTATATTTTAAGTCATCAATGCAAATCAGCTGGAGACGCCATCTTGGTCACACTAATTTTTATTAAAATTTTAAACGAGAGCCTAATTTATTCTTATATCTGATGCAAACTTTATTAAAGAATTACCGGATCATCGAGAATAAGGAAGCAAGTTATCAATTTAATAGCAGTTTTTAACATGAGAATAATTAGTATATGTGTTACCAAAATGGCGGGTCCAGCTGATTTGCTTTTAACGACGCTTTTTCAAACATTTTTTTTTAAAACCATCAATGCACAATTTATTTATAAAAAACTGTATTTAACAAATTTTTTAAAAAAATTATATTTTAAGCATGATTATTCCCCTCTTTAGAGTATTTATATCCGTTCCCCCATTTATCGTATTTTATTTACAAATATTTTTTAAACAGTTTTTTTTTTATTGTTTTATTTTAAATTTATATATCAAATATTTATCAAAATGAATATACTTCAAATTATATATAAATATATAATGGATATATATTATAATTAACAAATCAAAATATATTAAATAAAATAAGAAATTACTAAGATGGATGCAAAAATATATATAATAATATAACGTTTGAGAGGAAATATAAAACTAATTTCTACGTGGTAAATTGAGTAAAATATGTATGTATAATATACATAATACTAAAAAAAAATATTTTATATGGATGCTGAGTAATTTTAAAATCAGTTGAAATGTGCTAAAATAGGAATAATACATTTTATTAAATATTTATTTATAAGAGTGGGAATTTTAAGATTTATGTGAGTGCTAAATGAGCAAATAGTGATATATTCTCTAAAATATTCCGTAAAAAGTTTTTTAATAATAGTGAATCTAAAACTAAATAAAATCTACTACCTAATTTTTGTGAATGTTTTTTTTAAAGAAAATAATATTTAAAAAAAATTCATTCAGTAAAACAAATTGGATTGTCACGAAATTAAATTTATATAACATATGATTATGGGTACCACTGGGTTTTGTATGTTATGCTTTATATAATAAGAAATATATATTTATTTGTTTTAATCTTAAATAAATTATGAAAATTAGTATTTTTTTGTCAAAAATAAGGGAGCACCCATAAAAAAAAGTAGTGTTTTTATTGGAATAATATATCAAAGGGAGTGTGAAAAAAAAATTGATGGGATGTGGACTATTTGAAATAGGAAGAAAAAAATAATAATTCTCTAGAAATGTTATAAATAAGTTTAAAAAAAAACACAATAGCATGTTATTTTTTATTTTGTACCATGGTTGAGCAACTAATTAATATAACCAAAACGAATAAATAAGTTATTATAAATTTTATATATGTAAAATATATATAAAATTAACACTACATTTTGTCCGAATATAATAAATATAACTTAAATGTTTTGTAATAATAAAATCCAAAACATAGTAAATTCGATAAAGCACTTGATATATCTTGTTAGCAGATAATAATTATTTATTATCTTCAAAAAAAAATCACTGGGAGAACATAAAAAATTTTTATCCCAAAATCATCCAAAAAAAAAATCCGTTATAAAAATTTTTTTTCTAATATTACTTTATAATATATGTGGGTAAATAATCATGTATAAACTTTTTCTATATTACGTATTATATAAAAAATTAAAGCGAGTAAATGTTATCAATCTATACAATATAAAAAGGTTTAAATATTGGTTTTGTCGTATAAAAATTCAAAATACAAAACAGTTTGGGATGGAGAGAGTAGGGGTTCTGTATCAAAAATCTTGTGAGCGAAATAATATTATCGTGTATATATAAGTTTAAATATTGATTTTGTCATTTATAATATAAACAAAACCTAATATAAAAAACAAGGTTTGTTTATTAATTTCTGTATTTAAAAAAAAATATGTTTATCTTATAATTTTCTTTATCAAAATTTTGTATCAAAATTTGGCATATCAAAAGTTATTCATCAAAAAAAAAGTGTATGAAAATAAAAAAAATCATTTCAACTACCTCCATCATAACATGGTCACAGGTTCTGGTTATAATTCAATTGAAATATTCAACATTTCACAGCTGTATATATTAAAGGCCTAGCCGTTCAATTTTAATCCCGGTAATCTGCTGCTATTTCCGGATGCGTTCAGCCCGTTTTGATAGTAATAATATTTCTCCTGTCCCTGTCTCGTGATGAGATGACGCGTAGGCGGCGATGGTTTTCGAGCCACCGTGCCTCGGTTATTATTTTCGTTTTCCAACATTTTCAAAAGGTTGTGTCCAATTGGAGTATTTTGACCTTTATCCACCGCGAAATTCAGGGCGGACCATAAGGCCGTTCGAGCGATTTTAGTGGCTCGGGCTAGCTCCTTAATAGCAAGGGAGAGCGCCATTATATCTATATTTTTGGGGAGGGAAATGAATAATGTTAATCACGTTATGAGTTAACCTAAGCTGAATTTATGCTATATGAGTTTCGACTTAACAGCTGATCGATCTAAATCCTTTTTCACGGAAATAGATTTTCACAATTTTAAAATATTTTGTTTGATAGATCAGCTGTTAAATTGCTTTTCCTTATTTAAGAATTACTAACCTAAAAAATAGAGATAGTAAATAGATAAAATGGTTATATCTGACACCTTTATCGTCCTGAAATTTCTTTGGGGAATGATGCCCATTCATCATCATGGGGCTGTTCGCGGATCCATTCAACAAAGCAGGATTTTTGGAGGAAGTGCCGTTATTCATAATCCCGTTTTCAATTTCCTCCTTCCTTTTGTATTGCACGACTTTCACACAGTTTATCCAAACATCCATCTTGCGAAACATCCCCAAAGGTAGAGACTCTTCTTTGTGGAGTCCATCAATTTTTCCCAGCAAAGTGACTACCTATAAATATTAATTTTAGTTATTATCTCATCGTATAAATCTATGGAAGCCAGCCAATTCCGATCTCCCGAATTTCCCCACATTTTTAAAATCATTTTTTCGTCTAAGATGGCTCAGTTTAAAAAAAAAAAGATCTGTTCATATGAATCAAACTAAAAAATATATCTAACCTTAGAATGCTCCTTCCAATGGTCAACTATCATCCTATCCACGCGAGACGGGTTAGAAGATAAATGAGGAACGAGCGCGGTATTATTGCTACACAAATTTCGGCCCGGATAAGTTCTGGCGAGTTCCGCTTCGCATTTTTTGCGCTCCTTTTCGAGACATTTGAACTGCGAAAAACATTCTTCCAGAAAAAATTGAAGTGTTAGGCATGGGTAAGTTTTTTTAGTGTTGAAACGGTATATGGATTGGGGTTGAGGGGCGACGTTAATCGCGGATAAGGGTTGATGATGAAGAAAGTTGTATTTGTTAGGAGGAGCAGCGTATGATGGATTGATGCCCTGCGGATTATAATGCTGATGCTGAAGAGGGTTACTGTAGTGATGGTAAAGGATGACGTTGTTCGCAACGTGGGGTCGTCCGCCAAGATTCTGAAGTTGATGGTAAGGAAAATGAAGCGAATTGGGTACCTCATTACCCAAAGCGGTGTTGTGTAAAAGGCTGTTATGAGGACCTTGGGTAGAAGATACATTTTTTACGTAATTTTGCTGCTGCAAAATAGAGTTGGAAGAAACCGATTTTTGGTGTTGAAGGTTGGCGTATTGAAAAATATTTGATGGGCCATAGCTATAATCGCATATGGCCGAAGGGCCGTGGCAATTAATTTGGTTTGAATGATTAACAAATAATTGAGATGTAGCTTTATCCTCGTGATTAAAATTCGCAAAGTTATCATTACACTCGTTTGTCGCCGAATGGCCATTGGGACAGTATTTGTGAGCCAAATTCGGAGTGTTCAAATATTTTTGATGTTTTTTGAAACTGTTATGGGAACCAAGAATAGCTTTGCCAACCGTGGTTGAGGCAACGATGGGCGAGAAAGACTGCGAAACATCGCCCTGAATCCGTTGAGTATTCTCGTTGTTAGGGCAAAAATTATTATTGTAATCCAGCAACCATTTTTCGGTTTTGTCCGGTTTACCAGTTGTAACTTCTTTGTGATCATCAACCGTGTTGTGATGCGTCATTCCCCCACTCTTGATAATCATTTCCATTAACACTCTGGCTGCCGATTCGTCATTTTTGATCAAATCGCCTATAAGGGATGTTAAGATTTCCTGTTCATTCCCATTGGGGAAAGAATGGAATCCGTTTGTCTGGGAAACAGATGAATTAACGCTAGCACTCGTTTCCGAAATAATTCCTTGATCTTCCACCGTTGGTGACCAAATGTTTTTGAAAAAAGTTGAGCCAAATCTAAAGAAAACAACAAAAATCTTACTTATACAAATTAAAATTTTCAGTTTGGGATCATAACAAAATTCAACCGATTCTGACTAATTTATATGTAGAATAGTTATATTGTCTTTTTTTCTTTTACTTAGAGCAGTTTAAATTGAAAAAACTGGACCCCTTAAATCTTAAAGATGATAACGATTTTTAAATTTATATGCATAAATATACCCGGAGTCGTTCAATCCCAACCCATCGTTAGGCGCCGTCGTATTGATTAACCCATTGTTAGGCGCGGTAGCATTGGAGGTGGAATTATGAGCAATATTATTGTTCAAGAAATTCGCATTGAATTTTAGAGGAGTCGAACATTTATCAGATGAGGTCAGCCCCTCGCCGAATCCCACCAAATTTTTTTCGATACAACGTCGAGGTACGCCACTCGTCACCAAGTTATCCAACATTTTGAACTTTTGGCTTATCTCGTTTTCCTCCACGATTTTACTGACCATGTCCATTATTAAGGAATCCTCGTTACCGGCAGGGAAACTATGGTTGTTGTTAAAAGAATTGTAGCCGCTATCAATCACGCTGTCAATCAAGTTTCCGTAGGGATGCGAGGAATTTATGATCGAAGAGTCGGTTTCCGGTTTTTGAGGAGGGACGGATTTTTTTTTCCCCGCGAAATCAAACATCGATTGGGACGATTTTATCATGATGTCATTTATAACGGGACTCGAAAACATGATTTTTGTCATTTTAATTTATTTTTAAATATATCTGTAAAAAAAAATAATATATAAAATAGATGAAACTAGTTTTTAATAGTAAATATTTGAGGTTATATCAAGTAATGACGTCATTTTATATTTAAAACAAGAGGAAGGATGTTGTTTTATATATTTTTATAATTAATTCTTAGAAATTGTGTCATAATTATTTTTTTTATTTTAGAAAAAAAAATAACCGACTTTGGCTTAAGTGAGCTTTTATCTAAAATATGTATAAATAAATCCCCTTTTTAAAAATTTCCAAAAAAAAGGCGGGGATTTTTTGAATTTTTTTTTAAATTGCAAAATTTTTCTCTTTTTTTTCCGTGAGGAGATAAAATTTATATATTATATTTGTTAAATTATAAGGAAATTTGACTGGTGCTGTCCCGTTTTACGGAAAATAAATTACAAATTTTAAGAAATTTATTTAAACAGGAAAATGGCGTTGAAATTTAAAAAAAATTTTCAAAAAAAATTATATTATATTATAGATAAAAGGATTAAATTTTATGGTAAAAAAAATGTTTTTTAAAAAAATAATCAAGGTCATCCTATTTTTAAGGTCATTAAAATTGATTAAAGGAATTAGTTAATTTCAAGTTCAATATCATGTAAAAATTTAAAATAATGCTTACTATATCAAAATTATATTCTCTTTTTCATGTCCTAATGTTCGCTAATTTAAGAATAATTAGTATTTTTTCTCATAAAAAAAATTATAAGTTTAAAAAAATTAAAATCCATCCCTTATATACTTTTTTGGAAAAAAAAACACCTTTGAGAAATCAATATTGATTTTTTGTTTTTACTGTCTGTTTATTTAAAACCACGACGTACAATCTGAGCCATCAATTATTAGTTCAACGTCATCAATTCTCCGAAATTTTTTTTTTTTCGTTAACGTATTAAAAAATTATATTTATGAATGAATATTGTTGTTTTGCATTTGCATAATCATCCTCTTCCTCTATCTGATACTATATGATATTACATATATGATTCAATATTGATTGATCCAAAAAATTAATTAATAGAAGGAAAAAGAAGATATAAGAATATCCGTTTCTTAATTTATAAATATTTATTTCTTTTAATAAAATTTGAACCTTTGTTTATTAGTTTAGTGCCAAAAAAATAAATAAAATAACGAAATAAATAATAGATGACGTTATATAATATTGAAAAAAATTTACAGGAAAAATTAATGTCAAGTCTAGGAAAAAAAATATTATCGATTTTTTTTTGTTTCGTCAGAAAATTTATTGATCTCGATTTCGATATGCGTGGGAAAAACACGTAAACTATGCAGAGGTGGAGGATCAAACCCAATACTCGCCTACGCCTGCCTATGTTTGAATGATAAAAAATTTTAACGCGCGTAGAAAATTAATGATTATCCAGTTGGAGGGCATAGGGATTTTTGAGAGTTCACCATAAAATTATTAAGCCACTCGGTAAGGTGTAAATAAATTTAGTAAAAAATTTTTAGATACTTTTTTATTAATAACAAATTGTAATAAAGTATAAGTAAAAGTTTTTAAATAAGAATGAATGATCACAATCTAAGTTTAAAAATGAAATTAAGTCACATTAAAATTATGGTACGCGTTAAACCTACAATCTTAATTATCGATTTTTGATATCGCATAAATTTAAAAAATCGCGTTGATGAAATTTATTGATAAAAAAAAATATTATTAATACATTATTTCTATCGGAATGTTAATAACCTTTATATAGATTTGCAAATAATTTCTTTTTTTTTTATAAAAAAGGTATGGAAATATAAACTGCGTTATTTCTTTCTTATTTTATTGTACAATAGATTTGCATTTTTCCGAAATAAAAATTAAAATTGCAAAATGTAATAATAAATATATAAATATATAAATAATTTTATTTTTTACCTTCTTTATATTGATAAGGTGTCATAATATTAAAAGTTTATTTTGTTCCCAATCAGAATTTAAATATAATTTTTTATATATATAAAATGTCGGATACTAATTTAATTTATGTTACCTGTAAAAATTTTTATAAAATATTTTATTTTAGTTATTTTAAAATTGAAAATATTTATTATTTTTTAAATTAGAAAAATTTAACAAGTGTTTTTTTAAATCGAAAATATTTTTTTTTAAAAAAAAAAAGCAAACGATAAATATCGAAATCTGACGATTTTAACAAATTTTTTTTTAGAACGTTCTAAAATAATTTATAAAGAATTTGAAACAATGTTTGTGAAACTTGTCTAATTTGAGTATAGGTAAATATAAGATGGCGATTACATGATTGATTGATAAATTTCTAAAAAAAAGATATGATCTAGCTGTGCTATGAAGCAGACTTTATTGGTGAAGTGATCTTTCTGGAGAGGGGGGGGGGGGATTTATTGGAAGTGGGGAAAATTAAACAATCTCAAAAAAAAAAATACTATCATATTAATTCCCCCTTTAACTATGCATTCTCTTTTTTTTAGAATATAGAAATTTTCGAAATATAGAAATATGACTTAAATAAAAAGGTCAATGATTTTAAGTTCATAATAGGCAAGTGCTCATTTTTAAATAAAAGGTGTTTTATATTTAAAAGGGTTAACACATTATCTCGCTAAATTTATACAAAAAATATTATTGCTGACCACTTACGGTTCCCGAGAAGCCATGAGGAATCAACATTTAGTGAATGATTAAGTTCTAACCGTAGGAACTCCCCTTATTAACGCCAAACATTGGCGTAAAAAAATATTTCTACCTCGGCGATTAATAATGAACACCAAATGTTAAATCCATGAACCCGCTATTAGGAACGGACCAGGATGGTCGTAACGCTACTGCTTGCCGCGCGACGATAATTGATAAAAAAGGTTAGGGTCAAGTTATATTAATTCTTGTTCCATTTGAATCTCTCGTAATTAGGGTGTCTAAGTTCACTTGGTCATTTTATAAAACAATATTTATTTTTTTTAAAAAAAAAGAAGATAAAATAAAATTTAATAATTTTTGCCCTGTAATGGTATCATATTATAGGTTAAATGAAAGGTCAAAAAAATATGTAATTAATTATAAATATCGCCAAAGCAATATAAGATAAAAAAAAATACCACCATCTTAAAATTTATTTTGGATAATGAATAAATTTTATAATATAATATTCGCAAGTCGAAACAATTTATAAAGTTCATACTTTTTATATATATATAACACAATATAGAGGGGAAGAGATATAATTAACCTATTGATCCTCAAGTAAAATTTACAAAAATTGTGTTAATTATTTATATTATTTCATTATGAATCAATTCAATATCATATTATGTCATGAATAAATAATATTATAATTATTTAAATAAAATTATATAATATATATATTAATTATTTTAAAGAGCTATAAAATATAATCATGTAATATAACGTGAACTATGAACTATATTACAGTAAAATAACATAAATAGAAACAAAATATCAAAACTTATTTTGAACTATTAATATGTAAGATTTAAAAGATAAGAAATTAAATTAACCCAAATATTAATTTGTTGGCTGTGTTTTTTTCTTCTTCTAGTAATATAATAAACGATTTTAGAAAGGGGGAAAAAAACCTTCATCCTCCCAAAATAAATTTAGCAGTGTTCACAAATTTTGCGGAAGCGTTAAGCGATGCGCATTAGCGCTTAGTTGTTTAAATCAGAGACCAGCAGGTCTCGGGTACGCGGGCCGGGCCGAATTTTTTTTAAAGAATCCGGGCTAGGCTATGTTTATCATATCTCTGAAGGTATCTGGTTTAAAATGAATCTCAACTATTTTGCATTTTCAACGCAAATATAAAATGTTTACAAATTTGAACGTTTCTGATAGGACCCCACTTTTAGGATTAAAATAAATCTTGGCTTTTAAATGAAAATCAATCCAGTAATCAATAGATGTTAGGCAGGGCCTTTTAACGCGGAGGTTGGTATGAATTAATTGGGCCGCTACAGATTAGTTGAAGGGGGGCTTTAATCGGTATCTATTAATAAATTCAAATCATCGGGAGGCCTCATCCACATTATCGGGTCTAGAGGACATACTGTTGTAGGGATTTATTACAATGACCATCAGCAGTAATGCAATTGAAATTCCTTTTATGAAGCTTATATATATATTTCAAGTAGCTAAAGCCCATCTGGACTGAACTATTATATATTCCGCGAAGAGGAAACGGTAGAATAAGAGAGGAATGATGGAAAGAGTTAAATTAAGCTTAAGAAAGTTCTTAGAAAATAATATAATGAAAAAATAACACACTTTATAGTTTGATATGATATCAGAGTTTGACAATATAAGCCCTATAAGATGGGCTGGGCTAATAACAATTCATTCATTTATTCATTAAAATGCTAAAAAATTGTATAATACATTGAATTCCAACCATTGAAAGTCAATATAAAATGTGAAGTTAAATTGAACAAAAATGCCTTTCATTGGTGTCTATCACAGCCAATAAAATTAACTACAGCTGACTTCAACGCATGCGCATTATTACTAAGTGAATCAGGAGCTGGAGGCTTAAAATTTAAAAAAATCTTTTCGAAATGTTTATTTTATACTTTCTTTTTTTTTTTGATAAAAATAGACGAGCTTTTTATAGTTTCACGAATAATCAATGATGTAATTTTAAAAAATTGTATTTCAAATTGGAAATGATTATTCTTTTCTTTCCCCTTTAATATTTTGAAGATAAAAAAAAAGAATAGCAAATTAGATCGTATCCTAACTAAAGATCGGCGAAAAATATTTGGCAATATGGTAGTTTTAAGTCAGCTGTCCGCGAATATAAAAAATAGTTTCCTAAATTTTAGCATGTTTGCCTAAACCAGAGACTTCATCCCCTATAAATACGAAAATTTATTACATATTCCGTTACCCCCACAACCATTCCCTCTCCCCCAAATTAAAATAACCCCCTCCCTCATTTTGTGTCATCTCCTTCCCCTCGTGGTAGAAATCCCTGGCCTAAACCTCAACAAAAAAATACCTATATAAATCACCATGACACATGTTATTTAATTATAATTTAAAATATTCAAAAATAGATGGGGAAAAAATAATGGTTTTAAATATTTATAACAATAATATAATAAGAAAAAGGACAAATATTTTTCTAAATACTACATTCATATCTTTAAAGTGTACCAATATTCTTCCTTGACACCATTTTGTTTAAAAAAATGTATATATATATATTTAGAATATTTTTTTGTATTGTAATTCTTAATTTTTCTTGAAAAAATATTTTTTAAATTGTGAGACACAGCGAAAGGAGGTCGAAACAAAATGGCGTCAAATATTTTTTTTATATGTTATCTTAAATACATATACCTAGACTGACGATGCATATGAAAACAGCTGAGGACGCCATTTTGGTTATCCATATCATTTGTTAAACATTTTAAACGAGAGGCCAATTTATTCCTATGTCTGACGCAAATTTATTTAAAGAATTGCCTGATTATCGAGATAATAAGGAAGCAAGTTATCAATTTAATAGTAGTTTTTAACATGAGAATAATTACTATATGGGTTACCAAAATGGCGGGTCCAGCTGCATCGTCACTCTAGATATTATTATATGTCATTTTATGTTTTATAAAAAAAATAAAGAAGAAAAACAAGAACTCACGATATAAATGGTTAATTAATAATTTATAATAAACCATGATTATTTAAATGTTATCTTCTGACCCCAACATACGAAAATCATAAATACTATAACTAAACATTTTCATAAACCTTCTTTTTTTCCCCAACATTTGGCTATTAAAATATAGTTTCCTCGTGAAGGATCTTTTTTTTATATATTATCGAGAATGTTCTCTGATAAATTTGTATAATTTTATTGGGGATTCAATTTTTAAAAACTTTAATTTGATCATATATTGTTACCAAGGACTTCTTAATTCACTTAAGCTAAACGCCCTTCTTACCCTCTCCTACCCTCTATCAATTTTAAATTAGCAGAAAAAAACAGAAAGCCAAGCCTCTCAATGCTCAATAATGTTAATGTCTAAGTACTCTCCTCCAATTTCAATGAAGATCTTTGATCATATCCATCCACTTTCTCCTTAGTAGAAGTCTCCGATTATAACTATTTATTTATGCTATTATTTTAGATTTTTTTTAAAATAAATTTATTTACATTAAACTTATAAAGTATCTCTAAATGTATCTGAAAATAGATACAGATACCTCTAAAATAGTATCTTGTATTTCGATACTTTAACAACTCTACCACTCATTATTGGTAATTTTTCCATAAGATATATATTCCTGGATACCGGGCTGGGCTATCTTAGTAAAATAATGGCTACCGGGTTAGGCACATATAAGAACGGGACAGGCTGAGCAAAATCTGAATTCCAACCGCACCAGGCCGGTCTTGAAAATTTTGTCATTTACAGACCTCTAACAATTAGTATTAATCCAGAATTGTCAGCATAGACGTTATCCAGCATTATTCGATAGTATGAGGGGGGAGAGGCACTATTGTTTTTCCGCTATACATTTTATTGGAGGTCCTTTTTAGTCTATTGTAGACCTTTAACAATATTATATTTATTTTTAAAAATAATTTTGGGTTTTCAATTTTATTTATATTTATAAAAAATAAAAAGTTATTAACTTTTATTAAATTTTCTTACAAATTCTTCACATTGTATACATTTTTTGGGGTAGATGGGTGTGTTGGGGTGGGGGGTTAAAATGATATTTACAAGAACAGGCAAATTTTTGAGGGGGGGGGGCGGGTTCCCTTCCTTGTATACGCGCCTGGCTGTCAGATACCCACCTGATTATGCGTGGGCCCGCAATTTAAAAAAAAATCTGATATAATAATTCCCACAGGACTCCATAACTAATTATTGCTAGGACTAAGAGCCCATTAAGATGGGAACGGGATTGGCTTATACGAAACTCAAACAGCATAACCCTGGCATTAGATATTTTTAAAATATTTATGCTAAGGACAAGGTATATACTAGAGGTCTGCAATGGGCAGATTTAGGGCCAATAAGTCCGCCAACCGCTAGTTTAAAATATTTTTTATAACCCGTCTGCTTTTTCATCTAAAAAATTTTATTTAACCAGTCCCCCACCTACAGTGCCTTAAAAATAATTTTAATGACTGGTTTGGCTCTTTATTTTTTTATTTTTAAAGTATTTTTAATTTAAAACTTATATAAAATATGCAATATTTAAAAAATAAATTTTTTAAAAAAATATGATTTTTAATAGATAAGAGGTCTGTTCTGTTCATTCCTCCCGAAAAAAAAATTTAAAATTCAACTGCCCCCCGCCCAGTTTTTAAAATATTTTTTTTAAACCTGTTCGTCACCCTCCTAATGTTTTAAATATTTTAGAAAATCCGTTCCTACCTTACAGTGCGAACAAAATGAGCGCTTCGAACGCTCTGTTGCAAGCGCTAATAAATAATGCTTTTCAAATGGCCTCGTACAAAATGGGGAAAAATTACCGTTTGGCATTAGCAGCCATTTATAAAAACGCAAATAGGTTTGCTTTTTCATTACCTTTTTTTTTAATTCTTCGCTTTGTAATATAATATAAAAATGTAATATAAATAACTTACTTATATCCTAAAAATGGGATATTTAGAAATTAAAGAAAGAGGAAGGCAGACGATAATATAATTTTCAATCCTATTCTTTTTTTTTTTACAACTTATTAATAAAAAGGCAAACTTCAATTTAAACAAAGGGACGCGTTACGCGTTTTTTATTTAAAAAAAAGTATGCAAAGCGTAAACGCTCAATTTGTGGGCACTATTACCAATTTATTTTTTATTTTTAATGGACGTATATGAGATAAGCTAAAAATTATGATATACGTTATAGATTTCGAGATAATTTTACAAATTTTAAAATTATTTTAAAAAATGACATTTTAAACGGTTACTTTATATTTTTTTTGTTTATAGTTTTAGGGTATATATAAATATTATAAAAAAGTCTTGATTATGATACGATATTTATTACTTTTCAAAATTTGAAAAGTTTAAAAATCAAAGAAAACGTTATAATATATAAATAATGGAAGCATTTTTTTTTTACTTCTTAAAAATGCAAAAAAAATTTATATAAATTATACGATATCTGAGACCCCGCCGGAGGTGTCCTAAGTAAAAAAATAAATAACACAATATTTTTGAAGCGTCTTGTGCGAGACTCGGTAATAATTCTGTTCATTATATCCCGACTTATCTAAAACTCTCCCTATCCCATTCCATACCGTGCCGTTCTCAAAGAATCGCTCTAATCATTTTATATATTATATATATATATAAAATATTTTAATAAAATAGGAACACCCGCCGACACAAGACGCTCACAAAAATAGAGCCATATCTATGCGTGTGAGAACGCGACTTGCGACATAGTATATCAGGAATTCGTAAGAATTATATAGCCTAAATTATTTTAAGATCACATGAATTTTAAAAATCCGGCTCGGGAAGGTTTGAATCAAACCAAAAATAAATTTTTTTGTAAAACATATCAATATATAAAGCCTAAGCTAATTGATGCCCAATTTCTTTTTATTCAAATAAAAGCCTAAAAATTAAATATCACAGTAAATGACATATAATAATCCCTAGACTGACTATGCATTCATAATAATACAGTTACCAGCGTCGTAGCATGCAAATCAGCTGGACCCGCCATTTTGGTAACCCATATAGTAATTATTCTTAAATTTGATAACCTGCTTCCTTATTATCTCAATGATCAGTATATTCTTTAATAAAGTTTGCGTCAGAGATAGGAATAAAAATTTTAATAATGATATGGGTAATCAAAATGGCGTCACCAGCTGTTTTTATTTATGTTAATGAATGCATCGTCAAGTCTAGATATTATTATAGGTCATTGATCACAGTATAAAAAATAATTAAAAAACGGAATTAAACATAACTTAAATATTATTAACCTTTATTTTAAGAAAAATGAGTCATAAAACTCACTCTTCATTGCTTTCCGTTTTCATATGATCTTCCAAGAATTCCGAATATAGAAATTATTTATATTTTATTATCTTTTATAATACAATTTTCCACGAATGCATTAAATAAATAATTTTTTCCCCTGATTTGCAATCTCATCCATTTTAAACGGGAAATCTAAAAAAAAAAAATTTTTTTTAAATTATATTTATAAATTTTAAAATAATAATATATTACTATTAATAGTAAATTAAAATAATTAAAATAAATAAATAAATATTTTTTTAAATAAAAGTTTTATATTTAAAAAAAATAAAATAAAATATTGTTATTATGAAATTAAAATATAACAAATATTTAATTAAATTAAATTTAAAATTGTCACCAAGTCAAAATTTGCGAAAAAATATTGCCATATAATATTTAATTAATTAAATTAAATTTCAGATTGTCACCCTGAGTCAAAAATTTGCATCATTTCAAAAAATAAATAAATAATCTTAATATGGATTTAATCTATATTTTAAATTTTAAATAGTATTAAATTATTTAATGATGGTCGATGCCGCTCTAGCCGGAAGTTTGAAAGCCTGAGAAACGAGCAAGAATTTTAGGCCGCGCTTGGCAAAAGTTGAAAATATTCATGCACGGGCAAAAAAAATTTACGGTCCAAGTAGAAAAACCCTATGAAAAAACATACGGATTAATTGGCGCAGGAAAGGCCTCTTATGTCGATATCGGCATAATCCCTATAAATTATCAACAATTTCCTGTTTTTAGAACCGAGCCGGGCCCAATTGAATAACCGGAAACAAAACCTCTTTTTCCTTACTTTTTATGATCTTTTAAAATATATATAAAGAGGGGCAAATGTATGCTACCCTTTTTCTTTGCATTCGTTATCGCAAAATGGGGTAGAATGGGATAGTGCATGGGGTAAAATGGGGTTACTTATATAACTGTTAAAAAATTTAGGGCTTCGATTTTTAAAATAATATATATTTAACATTAAAGATATTACTATCTATTATTATCTATATTATTTACTTATTTTTGTAAAACTTATTTAACACGCGACCTTTTTAAACTTGCATTTTGAGTAAATAAAAGTTAAATATTTATAATATACATAGTTTTAAAAATTATAATTTTTTGAATTTGTTTTTAATTAATATACATTTTGTTTTATTGGTAAGAGAAGATGAAAGTTACAAATTTTAGGGCGATCGAATAATCGAATCATTTAAATTTTTAAACAGCTTGAAACGTTTGCCTAGTTAGTCTATTGAAAGAAAAATTTCCAATTTTTGCCCTTCCTCAAATCTTTTTCCATTCGTCAATTATGATAAGCCTTGCACAGATCGATCCGATAAATCCCAAATCCAGTGTAGGAACTCGCACAGACATGTTTTCAGATGAGGTGTCGGGTTCGGACTTTAATTTTAAAATTTATTTCGGGTTCGGACCTAAATAACCCCCATATCGCTTGCTAGGTGAGATTGGGGCACATTGGATACCATTTTGTATAAAGAAATAAAGAAACCTCATAAAAAAACTTTAAATATTTTGTAGTTGTAGTTAACTTTACTAAATATTTATGTTGATTATTTAAAAATGATTCAAACTTTTTTTTAAAAGATTTATAATTTTCAAGTGGGGATAAAAAGGACAGGGGCGCATTGGGCATCGTTAAAGGTTACATAGGACAACTACCTGATCGCTATGGATTATAATTGGCGACTTATTTTCTTTCTATATTGTTTAGCGTCAATGTGTTATTTTTTCAACTATAAATCATTTTTTTTAAGCGCGTTTTTATTTTTAAATTTAAAATATTTTTTTATTTTACTGAAATGTATTCTATCATGTTTGGAATACCCGCCATGAACTGTTGAACTTAATAATTTACTAGTGTTGTTAAACGACTCAATTTGAGTCGATTTTTAATAACGGTTAACTCAATATTTTATCTAGAAAAAATGTTACGCAAGCCTATTAGACTTTACTCAGATGGAACTTGGCGAAATCTCGAGGCTTTGGCACAAAATATTTCTGCCCAAAAATATTGAGTTAGTATCCGTTTTTAAAAATCGGCTCAAATCGATCCGTCTAACAACACTGTAGATTATAAATGACTATAAAAGGTTAACGGGCAAAATTAAGTTACGATTCATAAGATCGGTATTCTACACATGCTGCAATATATTTCCGGTCACATCCGATTTTTAAATTAAAAAAAATGTGAATAACACATTTCCGGAACACATTGACGATAATATATACATCTGATAATGATTATTTTATAATGTTTGTTCCTGGAATGGTGGCCTAAATAATGAATGATAAGAATATAATAATAAAATGAAATATAACTAATCAAATACCCCTTTATTTCGTATAAATTAGATTAATGATTCAGCCCCTTTTTTTTCTTTGTATAAGTAGGCGTCATTTGAAATTGCTAATGCAAATTATAATTTGATTGACATATATCAGAGACATCTGCAGGCCGAGCCCTAAGTTCGCGCCCTTTTTTAATTTTTTTTTAAAAAAATACCCGAGCGGGTCGGGCCTATAATTTTTGGAAAAAAAAAATCCGGTCCGGGGCGTGAAAATCAAGGTCTCTGACATATATGGCCTACGCCATGATAAAATTAAAAATATTTAGGATTATTCTTATCACCCAGATGTTTGAATAGGGTTTCCGCTTTTATATGATATATTATTAAAAATCTAAAAAATCTAGTAATTTCAAGGTTATACTATATGAAAGAAATTTTTTTTTCGTCTATAGGTCTATTAGAGCTTTGGGGCCAGGTGGGTTTGGTGATATAAAAAAAAATTTGTGTCCCACTCGCCCCTAGCATCTACGTGCCCCTATCTTCCTTCAGTGCTTCTGATTTTTGAGGTTTAGTTAAAATATCGTACTTTTTCAACAGTCAATTTTTTTTAAAAAAGCAAAATAGACTATGATTGGATCGATTGGATAAAAATTTGAAATATATTTCTAAAATCCAAAAGTTTTATATTTTCATGGATGAGGGATAAACCGGTACATGTTGGAACAAAAAAAAGACTTTAATTTTTTTTAACACTTTGACTTAAACGGCTCAAATTTTTATGCAGTGCTGTGAACCCTCGTTGAAAAAAGGTACGGTTCCTTTCGTTGGCATTGCATTTTGGCTCCTTTAGGTCAGGCATTAGCTCTTTCCACAGCAGTTTGAGCTTTCTGTTCTTCTGCTGGGGCGTAAAAATTGCGTTGACCATTGTCGGTGGTGTTTGGGTAGCCAAGAACCGAACTTGGGGTGTAGTCCCTCTGCTTTAGAATTCGTCGGCGGTTTCCTCACTCCTGAGTCGGAGGAGATGTCTGTTGGTCCCACAGGGAAGAGCGCCAAAGAGGTTGATCTTGGTAAACGCGATCTTCGTCTGCTGGAAACGGTAAGCGCATCCATACGATTTGTGAGTGTGGCGATAGCTATGAGGATGGTTATTTAATATTTATAGGTGGCGTTTACCTTACCAACAATAAGAAGAAAACTCCATCACAAGTTTATGGTTATTCTCTTATCTTTTTTTATATATACTTATCAGCTAATAAAAACCGGCCCCTACCCGGACCGGGTCTATTTTTATAAAATAATTTGGGTTCGGGCCGGGTGGAATTATGACCCGGTCTAGGATCGCGCTTATTTAAAATTTGTATATTAAATTTTTATATATTCAAATAAATTCGGGCCGAGCCGGGAATAATCATTTTTAGTTTTATTTCCGGTCGGGCTTTTCGGAAGAAATTTAAAAAAAATCTTTCGGGACTGGGTGGGGCAGTTCAAATTTTTTAAATGAGTTTTGCCGGACGACCATATTCAAAATAAAAGATGTGTCATGTGGCGTCTAAGATTTCTTTAAAAAAAAATATTAGACCCGGCTCGAAGCCCGTTCGGAGATCTCTAATACATATTACACCACAAATATAATAAAAATGAGAATTTTAAAAAGATATAAGGTGTTAATTATTTTATACAAATGATAATTAATAAATAAAAAAAATTATTCATCAAACTCTCTATAATTTTTTTTTAAAATTTTCCTTTAATTCAATTTTGAATTATTTTTTATTTTTCACAAACTTGAAAAGAAGCTTAATATTCAACATCATAATCCTTGCTAATTATTATTATATTTTTTTTTTAAAACGATGTGTTTAATATAAAATAATTTTTAATAAATCTATTTAAACAAAGACAAAAAAGTTTAATAAACTTATAGAAGAAATGTCATCTATTTTTTTTTATTCTTTCTTCTTCCTATTATATTTTAATGTCAACTTAACATGACAATAATTTTTGTAAAACTGTTATGTAAAAGTGTTCATCAAAATTTCTTTTTTTTTTCTTCTTATATTTTTGACACTTACAAGTGTTGTGTTGTAGATTTAATTCAAAACATTTCCATATTTTTTAATTCGTTTGTAAATAAAATTATTTAACTTGTAATTATTTTAACAATCTTTTGAAAGTCAAATAATTTTATTTTCAAAATAAATTTTTAAAAAAATATGGAAATGTTTTCCATCGAATCTTGGTCAACACAGTAAATAATTTATCTACCATCAAATCATGTGTAAAAAAAAATAATAATGAGGGTTTAAAGCTAAATCTTCTCTGCTGGCATATCCAGGATTTTCGTAAAGTAGGTAGAAGGGGGTCGTTTGGCTAGATTACACTTTTAAAACAAATTATTTTAGGCCGTTTAGGAGGCATCCCAGTCATTTTTTTAATAATGGTTAGGAATGAGAAGGTTCCATCGCTGGCTGAGGAATTTTTTACGGGTGGGGGTGGGGTGAGACGTTCCTATTGGAACCGGAATGAACCGCCAAAATCGTTAACTGAACCGTAAAACCGTGACTGAACCGATATAAAATATTTTGAAGGAGTTAAAATAAATAATTTTATAGGTTTATATTCTTTTCCTTGTGGTGTTATTACATATTATTATTTTTTTTTTTATTCACGCCAAATTAGCCTTTTGTTCGTACATGATAGATATTATGTTTACGCGAAAAATTCGTTTTATAAGGTATATAATATTTTGAAATGAATTATTATTCTCTTTATTATGTATTTTTGCAATAAACCTTTACAAATTATTTATAATCAAGCCAAATCGAACCTATAAATTTTTTTTCTTTAAGAACCGTAACCGAACCGGTAAATATTAAAGATCCGGGTCCCCGATACAAAACAATTAAGAAAACGAGATATTTTAGAATTTGTCGATATCCGAAACCGGTCCTGCGAATCCGACGCACTCGAGTTTAGTTCGGATCGGTTCCGGATTCGATCTGGATTATCGGAAAATTAATTTTTAAATAAAAAAATATTTTATTATTTCTTTTAATTAAAAATTTTATTCCATATTTATTTTTATTTTTTTCAGAAATAAAAAAAAATATTCTTATCAATTATTTAGTCCTTTATTTATGAGACATTTCGGTAGACATCAACCAATCTTAAAAAAATACAACGAATCTAAAGCAAAAAAAAATTTTTTTCCATCACTTTCATATTATAATTATAGATAATGTAATGTACTCATTTTTTTTGAAGAAATTGTGAGTTTTTTTTCCACTATAATTCACAGTTAAAGTAAGGTAATATTGTTTTTTATGATTTTGAATTGATTGATGAAAAGGTGTATATATATATATAAGTTTTCAAAATGTCTCATAAATAAAGAAATTTTATTTGATTTAAAGATATTATATAACATAATATTAATTTTATTTCTTTTTTTAAGGAGTTGGTTAAGCTTGGCACATAAGATCTAGTGTTGTTAAATGGCTGAGCCAAGCCGGCTTAGCCGAAAACTCAGCCAGTTTCTGAGCCAAAAATTCGGCTCAGGCTCAAGCCGGCTCATTGAGCCGGCTGGCTTAAGCCGATGGCTCAAGCCGATGGCTCAAGCCGATAGCTCAAGCCGATAGCTCAAGCCGATGGCTCAAGCCGATAGCTCAAGCCGATGGCTCAAGCCGATAGCTCAAGCCGATAGCTCAAGCCGATAGCTCAAGCCGATAGCTCAAGCCGATGGCTCAAGCCGATAGCTCATGCCGATGGCTCAAGCCGATGGCTTTTTAACAACACTAATAAGATCCCTTCTTCGTTAGATTTTTTTTAAATGTCGGAGAGAATAAAATCAATTTTTGAAAAAAAAACCGTTCGAGAGGCTGGTGGAGGCGGTGTAAACCCGGTTTAGATCTGTCAATCTTTAAAATAATATATTTAACCAAATTTCGGCCTATTTTGAATATTGGTCAACTTTATTTCTTTTAGCGATGAGCGGCTCGATAATGTTTGTTTAACACAATTATTAACCATAAAATAATATGGTTGATTTCCATATCAAATCAACCAAGGTTTGAATCCGACCCCCTCAGAATGTTTTTTTAAATTTTGTATAATTTTACTTCCTTACGCCACTTACTCTCTAAGATATGGGCGTTTAAAGAGCGGATGCGATTCGTTAGTTTTTTAAATATCTCAAGAATAAATTAAGTTAGAGCAATATTTAAATTTTATCATATAGCTTAATAATATATCTTTAATATGACTTAAAAATAAATGTTGAAAAAATCCCGTTTATTACCAAATACCGGAAGTACAAAACCGGAAATGGTCATAAAAAAAAGGATATTTTTTTTTCCAATTTTTTAGATGTATACCAGACTGCTTTATATTTGTACAAAATCTTAGACTGGGCTAAACATGGATCTAGGAGTTGTGACCCTTTATATGGCTAAAATTGATCAAAAACATTTGTTTTAACGCAGGTTCTATGAGTCCATCACTATATTTTAATTAAATTATATTAAATATTTTTTTGTTGATAATCAATTTCCTAATCATATGACATTGTCTAAATTATTTTATTTTATTTTAATATTTTAAATTGGAATAAAATTTATTAAAATCTCCCAGTTTATCTTAAAGCATTTCTCGGATAATTGGCGCTTGGCCGTATACTCCTCCAAACTAAAAACACAAGAAAATAACCATTCACAAATCTTAAGTTTATAACTATTAATATTTCGAATTTTAAACTTTAAACCGATATTTTTGAAAAATCGATATCTGAAAGAAGGAATAAGAAGTTAAAATGTTTTATGCGTGCTCAAAATAAAACTACGCGGGTGGAATAGGATTTTGTCCATCCTATGGTATCGCCAAAAATTATTTCGAAAAATGTCAAGAAAGGATTTAGCAGGCTTTCTTAAAGCGAAAGTAATTATTACTATTTTATTGAATTATGTATTAATTTTTTTTAAAAACAAATCTATGAATTGTAAATTAGTCCAGACCGAAAGATTTAAGAAATAACCCGAACCGTGGTGATCGATATCAAAGGACAGGTTGAGATTTTTTTTTCTTGAATATATACTTCGAAAAGTCCATAAGGGGAATCAAGATATTAATGAAACGATTTTAAATGTCACAAACAAATAAACAATGTCAATATAAAAATAATAATAAATTTCCTTATATATTTTTTTTAAAATATAATAAAATATCATGTATATAAGTTATTTTTTATTATAAATACATACATATTATTGCAAAAACAACTATTATTTTTAATTATAATTTAAAAAAATATAATTTTTTGTGTTATGACACTCAGCCAGACCGATAAGACTGGCCTTCACTAAACGTAAATCAAGGTTATATTCAAATTGAAATTAATTTGTTTAAATTAATTACCAATTTTTATCATTAAAAATTATTTTTTTAAAATATAAAATGGAATACTTAAATTGTGTTTATAATTTATTTTTTTATAGCTAATTATTATTTTAATGGGGAAAAAAATCAAAAAATTACGGATTTGAGGTAATATAGTATGATAGTGCCTACATAAACGAGGGGGAGGGGAAGAAATGTGGTAGCAATATGCTTCCATACTTATAGGGGAAGCTTTTAAGAATGTAGGGGTTATAAGGTGAGTCTTAAGTATGTTACCACAAAATATTTCTCTCTCTATGTAGACGTGGTTCAAATAATTATTCTAAAAGATTTAGGATTATAGATTAATAATAAATCTAAGTTTGTAAAGATAGAAATATCATTTTTCATATTTGAATTTAGTTTAACAAATAACACTTTCGAAACTATAATGGTCAAATAATTTTTTAAAAGAAGAATGATAAAATAATTAATTAGTAAAAATAAAGGAAGTCAAAATCAAAAAGGGGCCTAGAATATTAAGCAGATTGTAAATCTTAAATAGGCAACAGTCAGATTTGATTAGTTTCATAGTGGGTATAATTATTCCTATTATAGAGAAATCATAATTAAATTCGAAAAATATACTTTGAATATATAAACAACACATATTGAATGGAAAAAATCAATTAGATATTTGCTAATACAGTAAGTGTGGTAATGTGGAAAGTATACATATATAGTTATTATTGATTTTATGGAAATATATGTATGAATATATTATTATATTATTTGTATAGATATATTTTATAATGATTATAAAAATATTTATGAATTGTTATAAATGAGATATATTATATATATTATTAATGTCATAAATGTCATATACAAATCAATCATGCATATATATACGAATTGTAATTATATACCATTTTATCATGTGACTTATTCATACTAATAAAGGAATTGTATATTGGCAACGATCTCATTATGAATAAAAACCAATTACTAGTGGTGAATTGAATACAAATGAAACGAATAATATTAATCAAGTAAATAATGTTATACAAATAAAATTTGAAAATTATGACAAACAAAACAACTTTCAAGATTATATTGAATATATTGATGATGTGTTGGAGGTAAGAGGTATATTAATAAATAATGAAACCAAGAAAAAAATATTATTTGCTTATATGGGGATTAGTAATTTGGCTGAGATGAGGTCTTTTGTATATCCAAAAATTTTGAAAGAACTTAATTATGAGGAGATAATTGAAGTGGGTAAAAAAGTATTTAAGCCTATTTCAACGTTATTCAGCTCGAGCATTAAGTTTATTCGGATAGAAAGAGGGGACGGTGAAGCAGTTGCTGAGTTTGCAGACCGACTTAAAAAATTGGCACAAGATTGTTAATTTGAATCTGACCTGGATGGGAGATTGAGAGATCAGATGGTGGCTGGAATCAAAATGGGTGCATTGGAGAAAGATATTCGCACCAGATTTCCAGATGGAATAAATGACATGGGAGAAAGGGTGAGTTTTCAACAGGTTTTAAATATGGCTTTGGCAATGGAAAGGGCTGAGGATAAAGTGACAAATATGATGGTAAAAAAAACAATAAACCCAAAGAGTAGATAGAGAATAATCAAGGAAATTTTTCTAATCAAAAGTACCCATATATTAATAATAAAGAAAAAGGAAATTTTAGTTATTACATTAATAATATATATAATATATCTCATTTATAACATATCCCCACACATATGATCTTACAACTCCTCAATCAGCCGATTTGTAGGTTTCCTAGCTCTCTGAATATACAATTAAGATACAATTCCTTTATTAGTATGAATAAGTCACATGATAAAATGGTATATGATTACAATTCGTATATATATGCATGATTGATTTGTATATGGCATTTATGACATTAATAATATATATAATATATCTCATTTATAACATATCCCCACACATATTATCTTACAACTCCTCAATCAGCCGATTTGTAGGTTTCCTCACTCTTTGTGATTTCCGCGTTTCTAGTTTTCCGTTATCTTCCACATTTTCTAAAATCTCAACTATATCCGACTCTCTATTTTTTATATTTTCTTCCTCTCTCTCTGACTGCATATTTTCTCCATTTTCTTCCTCTCTCTCTGACTCCATATTTTTTTTATTTTCTTACCCTGGCCCAGATTTATCCATTTCTTTAGCTACCTCACTTTTTCGAAGTTGATCCGCATGCTTTCATACCATTCCATCTTGTTTCTACCAAATAAGATAATCTACCAGTTCTGGATTTTCTAACTCCTTCTCTCCAACCTGAATTTATTTCATTATGCACCCATACCGGTTGTGCAATCTCAAATTCCCTCATTTGACTATGTTCATTATGCGCTGATTTTTGTCGTATATTCGATCGTTCCATTTAATCCCTAACATTTGGACGTAACCAATTTAATCCCGTTTTTAAATTTCGCCCCAATAATAACTTTGCTGGTGAACGTCCAGTTGATTGATGTTCACCCATTCTATATGCTATCAAAACTTTTCCCATGACTTCCTCAGGCTCCCTGATGTCTTTTCTAGTTGCAAAATATCGACTCTTAAGGGTTCGTATTGTTTTTTCCGCTAAACCGTTCGTTTTTGGATGGTACGGTGTTGTATGTATCAATTTAATATTTTTCTTGAAACAAAATTTTTGAAATTCTCCAGAAATAAATTGAGGTCCATTATCTGATACAATTTGTCTAGGTGTTCCAAACCGTGCGAACCATTAATATACAATTCCTTAGTTAATATACAATTCCTTTATTAGTATGAATAAGTCACATGATAAAATGGTATATAATTACAATTCGTATATATATGCATGATTGATTTTTATATGACATTTATGTAATAATATATATAATATATCTCATTTATAACATATGATCTTACAACTCCTTAATCGGCCGATTTGTAGGTTTCCTAGCTCTTTGTGATTTCCGCGTTTCTAGTTTTCCATTATCTTCCACATTTTCTAAAATCTCAACTATATCCGACTCTCTATTTTTTATATTTTCTTCCTCTCTCTCTGACTCCATATTTTCTCCATTTTCTTCCTCTCTCTCTTACTCCATATTTTCTTTATTTTCTTCCCCTGGCCCAGACTTCTCCATTTCTTTAGCTACCTCCCTTTTTCGAAGTTGATCCGCATGCTTTCATACCATTCTAACCATGCTTTCTACCCAAATAAGAATATCTACCAGTTCTGTATTTTATAACTCCTTCTCTCCAACCTGAATTTATTTCATTATGCACCCATACCGGTTGTGCAATCTCAAATTCCCTCATTTGACTATGTTCATCATGCGCTGCTTTTTGTCGTATATTCGATCGTTCCATTTTATCCCTAACATTTGGATGTAACCAATTTAATCCCGTAAAAAATTTCGCCCAATAACTTTGCTGGTAAACGTCCAGTTGATTGATGTTCACCCATTCTATATGTTATCAAAACTTCTCCCATGGCTTCCTCAGGCTCCCTGATGTCTTTCCTAGTTGCAAAATATCGACTCTTGAGGGTTCGTATTGTTCTTTTGCTAAACCGTTCGTTTTTGGGGTGTTGTATGTATCAATTTAATATTTTTCTCGAAATAAAATTTTCGATATTCTCCAGAAATAAATTGAGGTCCATTATCTGATACAATTTGTCTAGTCTTCCAAACCGTGCGAACCATTTCCTTAAAGCCCTGATCATTGTCGTGGACGTGGTCTCTCTCATTAACTCAACCTCAACCCATTTACATATGTTAAAAATCAGAGCCATAAATTTGCACGATATAAATATTAGTCAAGTTGTACTCCAAAAGGAGACAAGGAATGATAGCTTGTTTAAAAAGATAAATAAAAACATTGAACGTGGATGGGTGGATTTTGATGCGAAAAAAGATACAGGGTTAGTTTGTTTTTATAATCGTAGAGAGGAATTGTCAGTAGATCATGCTGTTATTGAATGGAATGGGAAGTTGGTAATTCCAACCGTTTGAGGAAGTCAATATAAACGATTATTTACAGAGGGCAACCAGGAATAAATGCTATTAAATCAATTTTTAGAATGTATTGTGGTGGCATAATTGCGATAAAGACATTGAACAATATGTTCGTCAATGTATGCCATGTCAAAGTAACCGGTTGAATATTATGTAGGTTCCTTTATATTCGTGGAACATTTCTAATATGCCATGGGAACGAATTCATTTGGATTTTGCGGGGCCTATTGATTCGTATTCATGGTTAGTTGGAGTTGTTGCACATACTAAATGGGTCGAAGTTGAGTTAATGAGAGAGACCACTTTCACGACAATAATCAGGACTTTAAGGAATGGTTCGCACGGTTTGGAACACGACAAATTGTATCAGATTATGGACCTCAATTTATTTCTGGAGAATTTCGAAAATTTTGTTTCGAGAAAAATATTAAATTGATACATACAACGCCGTACCATCCAAAAACAAACGGTTTAGTGGAGAAAACAATATGAACCCTCAAGAGTCGATATTGCAACTAGGAAAGACATCAGGGAATCTGAAGAAGCCATGGGAGAAGTTTTGATAGCATATAGAATGGGTGAACATCAATCAACTGGACGTTCACCATCAAAGTTATTAATGGGGCGAAATTTAAAAACGGGATTAAATTGGTTACATTCAAATGTTAGGGATGAAATGGAAGATCGAATATACGACAAAAAGCAGCGCATGGTGAACATAGTCAAATGAGGGAATTTGAGATTGCACAACCGGTATGGGTGCATAATGAAATAAATTCAGGTTGGAGAGAAGGAGTTATAAAATCCAGAACGGTAGATATTCTTATTTGGTAGAAAGCAAGGATAGAATGGTACGAAAGCATGCGGATCAACTTCGAAAAAGGGAGGTAGCTAAATAATTGGAGAAGTCTGGGCGCGGGGAAGAAAATAAAGAAAATATGGAGTTGGAGAAAATATGGAGTCAGAGAGAGAGGAAGAAAATAGAGAGTAGGATATAGTTGTGATTTTAGAAAATGTGGAAGATAACGGAAAACTAGAAACGCAGAAATCACAAAGAGCTAGGAAACCTACAAATCGGCTGATTGAGGAGTTGTAAGATCATATGTGTGGGGATATGTTATAAATGAGATATATTATATATATTATTAATGTCATAAATGTCATATACAAATCAATCATGCATATATATACGAATTGTAATTATGTATTATTTTATCATGTGACTTATTCATACTAATAAAGGAATTGTATATTAACTAAGGAATTGTATATGAATAATATAATATTGGGTATAGGTTAACTACCTAACACCCACATGGCATCTATTATAATGCGATATTCGGATCTATATATATTGTGATAGTTTTATCAATAAATGTTGTATATGAATTAACCCAATATTATATTGGCGCAGTCATGGATGTAAATGTAAGTATGAATCTAAATTTATTAATTGGCAACGACGAAATTAATAATCTGCAAAATCTATTAAATGTTTTATGAAATAAATTATAGGGAATAATTTGGAAATGTCATGGTAAGTAAAGTATGAACTATTTTGCAAATGTGATATTTGTTTGAGCAATATTAATGTATTGGATATTTCAGGAAATTAATATGGATAAATGTGAATCAGAATTAAGTCAATGGAATAAATTATAGAGAATTTTCAACATATGATAAAATTATGGTTGATAAATAAATTTAATTTGGAAAATATATTAATAGTTCTGATATTGAATGAACTATTATGATTGCAAGAGGAAAAAAATAATAAAAGCATTTATTTATGTACAAATGAAAATGTTCATGCTGATTAAATTGCATGAAATTGCCGAAGAATGAAGTATATTCACAATGCAATATATATTATTGAATTATTTTTTAAAATAAATGATGTTTAGTAAAAATAAGATTACTTTGACATAGTAATCAATTAAGGTAAATTTTTTATGCAAATATTATCATTTTAAAATATATTTTATAGACCTTTATTTTAAATTTATAAAATTGGGACAAGAAAGCGCCTTTTACTTAACATCTTATAAAAATTAGTTTAAAAAAAGGATTGAATTTTAAAGCCAAAATTTACAAATCTGATTTATATTGTAACTATAAATGGCGAGTGTTGCATTAAAACAAATTATATTCTGTATAATAAAAAAATGTCAGTTCAATTTCAACTTATTATTTGATGATGATTTGATAAGTTTATATTTTGGGGATATGAAAAAACTTATATACCAGCAGTATCGTTATAAATGGGAGGGGGTGGGTTTATTTTTACTTCCATATATTTTGGGAGTGATGGGGGCTCTCGTGAAGGCAAGAGTATTGGGAAAGGGGGAGGTAAAAGATAAATTCTTAAATAAAATTAATATAATCATTATGCTGTTTAAAAAAAATTAATATAATCATTATGCTGTTTAAAAAAAATTAATACCATTTTACTAACTAAGTTAAAAATATTAATATTATTTTTACAATGTTAAAAAAATTAATATTATTTTTAGTAAGTGAAAATAAATTAATATTATTTTTTACTACGCTATAAAAAAAACATACAGGAGACAAATCTAAAATTGCTTATTTCTCTAATATAATATATTTTTTGATGTAATTTTTTTACTCCTTTGGGAAACAAATATTAATTTTTTTATTTAATAAATAAAGAATCATGCGAATGTTGTATAATTTTACTTTTAAAAAATAAATGTTGGGTATGTAAATAAAATTTACTTATTAAAAATAAATTTATATTTTTTTTTACTTAATTCCTTCTTTTTTAAAAATAAAAATTAATTTAAATTTAATTGTTTTGTTGAAAATTTATTAAAATTATTTTTTTATCTCAAGAAATTTACATATAAATTATGTAGAAATTGATTTTCGAAAAAAACTAACATCAACTTTACAAAACTTGAGAAAGAAATAAAAATTTTCACCTTAACTTTTACTTCAACAACCACAAGTTCAGAGCCGGGATTTTACTATTTAAAAAAAATAAAAATTTTATCGATTATCCAATATATCACGAATTAAAAAGTTAAAATTTAATAATTTTAGTTCTTAAGAGTTTTAATCAAAAATAAAGACGAATTCCGCTCAGTGGTACACTTTTGAAGCGAGAGAATTATTACTCATTCGATCATAACCTTACGAAATGTAATTAAAGCATGCGTATTATTATTAATTGCAGGCATTATACCATGAGTAGAGACTCGTTTCGATTTGCATATAGCAATCGGGATTTGTTATTATTAAAAAAAACTCATTAGGACCCGTTTTTAATGAGTTTTATTATAATTTCCTTTATTATATAGAATACTAAACTTTTTTTGAATAGAAGGCCGGTAACTTTATTATAAAAATTATATAGAAAAATATATATGAATTATATATTGAGTATAATACTCAAAATCCAGAAATAAATTTGCACTTGGTTTATCATATATTATATAATTATTAATTTAACTTCCTCAAAAAATTTTAAACTTTGGAAAAAATAAAAACATAATCTATTCCATTTATTGAAGAAAATTGTCATAAAATAATAATTTATTAAAAACAACTTGACTGATTACTACCTTTGACGATAACTAAGATCATTTAAATAATATAATACAAAAAATTTTAAGATTTTATCTTGAATAAAATAATAATAATATAATATTATTCTACGAAATATGCCATTTAAAGTATAAAAAGATAATATAAGTCATAAAATAATCATGAAGAATATAAAATATACTAAAAAATATTATTGCAGCTGGTTTATTTTATATTAAAATTTTTGTTTCTTAATCCTATGTATTTTTAATTATTGTACAAATAATTATGTGGTCGAGAGCTTGAATCTATCGTGTGTTTAGTTTTTATTTATAAATGTATATATTCTTTTTTCCTTTATGGGAATTCGCACTGACTTTTCTTTTTATATTAAAAAAAGAAATAAAAAATTAAATAAAATTTATCAATAAGAGTAGCGTAATACTCGGAGATACTCTTATGCAAACGTTATATTCTAAAAAAATTATTAATAAATTATATTTCAGGGCTATCAATAATTTTATACCTTTTTTACAGAAAATATTAGTTATTATATGAGTTATATGTATCCCATCCTCTTTGATAGATGCCCAACTATCCCAACTCGTTTCTTTGAGTTTAGTTGAGTAGCGTCACTAGAGAGAGGGGCAAGGGCTCAGCTCAGGTCCCTTAAAAAATATGAAAAGCCCACTTAAAATGAATTTTTTTTCTATATACCAAATGTAATTTTGTAAATGTTAGCTAAAATTAAAAAAAATTTTTGAGCACCCTGAGATTATAAAAAACTTGCGACGCCCTAATTTGTTTATCAAATTCTAATTTTCAAAATGAATATCTTGGTTAGTGATAGAGATAAGCAAATTTTGAATCCTAATAACATTGCATTTCATTTACAATTACTAATACATTATATAAATAATCTTATTTTGAAGGTATTGTTGAACGGCTTGTTTTGAGCCGATTTTAAAAACGACTAATTCAATATTTTCGCCAGAAAAATATTGCATAAACCTCAAGATTTCTATAATATATGTCTACGCTTTTGTTCCTTATATGAGTAAAATCTTCAGGCTTGGGAAATATATTTCTGGATGAAGTAATCAGTTAGCTGTTTTTAAAAATCGGCTCAAAATGGACCGTTTAACAAAACTGGTAGAGATATGAACGATATGTATGTACAGAGACGCACAAATGATGCTTAACTGAGGCTCCAAACTTGGGAAGATTTGGGCTATAAATTAGAAAGATATTAGGTATTCAATATATATTAAGGAATTAATTAATAAAAGTGATCGTTTTTTCACCTTATCATCATTATCCAAATAGACCAGTCAGTGTTTAGAACAAATTTTAATTTATATTCATACCAGCATACATTCAAAAATTTCAAATGGATTTGGTAACAAATATTTTGCATTATATCATATCATACAATTAATCATAGGATATTACTAAAATTCCAGAAATAAGAGAAATTACTAAAATTGAAAGAATTGGTATGTACTTTTATATTAATTTAAAATATAGTACATTGTAATATTTATTAAGGAGCTCACTCACATGTTCAAGGGTTAGGATTAGATAAAAATCTTCATGCTCAACCAGTTTTTATAAAATATATTGATATTATACGATTCATATATATTAGAATGCTCAAGGAATGGTAGGACAAATAAAGGCTAGACGAAGTGCTGGAATTATTTTAGAAATGATAAAAGTAATATTATATTATATTAGACCTACAGGGAGGTAAATAGCATTTTATGATATTTGCCCCAGTGGTTAGATAGCATTTATAACAATAAAATTATAATTGCCCCCCCCCCCTGATGATAATATTTGCCTCATCATTGGGTAAATAATAACTTTTAATAACGATAAAATTATATTTACCTACGGCATGGATTTTTTAAAAATCTGATGTATAGATAATCTAAAGAAAACCCTTAAATTTTTTATTATATGAAAGATATGTTATCACAGAGAGATTTAATAAGTTTTTTAAAAATTTTGAAATTTAAAAAATTCCTTTTCATTGTTCATTTTATTAGAAGCATACCCATATATTTATTGCTAGGTTGTAGTCCAATATATTGAGGCTATATCTAATAATATCAAATATAAAATTTTATATTTTTTTTTATTTGATAAAAAAACAACAAACAAATAAATGCATTCGTTTTGAAACAGTTAAACTAAATATTATAAACGTTTATATAAATTTTATAAAATAGAAGATAAATATTACAAACGTTAATATAAAAAATGTTAAATAAAAGCGAAATATTAATATTATAAATGTTGTCATTTTCTACAAAATCTTTTTCTGCCAATGGAAATGATACAAGTAAAAACAAATATCACATAGAATAGAACAGCTTTCTAATTTCATTTGACAATCTTTGTACTGCCATATATCAGTCTATATCATTTTCATAAGACTCTTAATGCACCAATATGCCACATTAGTAATGTAGGGAGCAATTAAACACACATCAACATTATTTAAGCACTGTATATCAATTGTAGGAGGCAAATGGACCACCTTTTTAAAAATATCATCCTTAATATATACTTTTTTTTAAAGAGTTGGTTTTGATAAATTTTTTTAATATCCATAATGTTTGCTCATCTTTCAGCAGTGCTGAAAATGCTTTTATGTCTTCTGAAAATAAATTTATAAGAATGTTGTAATAATATAAAAATATAACATCCAAAATGTGTTTTGTTTCAGATTGGATATTCTTTTCTAAAATAAAATAAAGTAAAAATTATAGTGTAAAATATTTTAATAAAAACCTGTCTTTATTTTATCCGTGATTATAAAATTAATTTCTGACAATCTGATATAAGGGGATCTGATAGCAAAAGGGTTATAGTAAATATAAATATTTTATAAAAAAATGTAATGCCTTTTTTTATGTCATCATCCAGGTTTATGATTCCAAAACACTATTATCAGTGATAGGTATATCAAAATTATTATTTATGCTTATTTTTTTTTTCAAAGGTTTTTCTTTCATGATTAAAATTATGAGATTACATATTTCAATAATATATATTTATTCCACCCTTTTTTGTTATACCTATTACAAATAGGTCTGCTTTTCTTGGTCTGCCTTGTCTCTTAAATCTAGATATTAATCTAAGTTTTTTAATTTTATTATTTAAAAAAATAAATAAAAATATATATTTGATAAAAAGATATTAATACAAAGACCAGTATCCTGCATAGTTGTAAACTATGACATTTAAATATTCTCTTTTTTCGTCAGGGTCTGAAGAAAAAAATAAAAATTCATTATTTAAAATATAATTAACCAATAATACGAGAAGTTGGGGTTGTTGACATATCAATTATATTGTTCTCCATTTTTGTCAATCGTAAATAATACAAGAAGTTGGGGATATTGATATATCATTTTTATTGTTCTCCATTGTTCTTTTGTCAATCATATCAAGGTCTAAAGAAAATATATAAATAAATATAAAATATATAATACTTTCTAATGTTGAAAAAACTTGATTATGAAAATCCTGGCCTGAAAAGAAATAATAATTTTATAGAAATCATATATTAAATTGACTACCAATGGGAGAAATAGAAGTGCATGGCACAAAAACACTATCATGTTCCACATAATTTGGATCATCATGAACAATAACATCAACATCTTGAAAATATTTGAAATATGGATAAAATATAAAACTACTTTGCAGAACTGGAGATATCATATTGCCCATGTTTGCTTTTATTTCTATATCTATCATTGATTATTTTAAATATATATTGAAAATTAATTATATACCATTAGTTTGTAGAGATCATGATCCATCAACCTTCTCTCTCATTTGCATATGACTTCCATTATTTTTATCATGTTCTGATCAATTAAAAAATAAATTTATTAAATTTACATTTGATACCCATGGGCGAATGAGTCTCTGTGGTTTTTATCTATTGGTGTAACTGTGAACATTTTTCCAACCGCATGATATTTATTCATTTTGATAATTTGTTCAAAGTGATCCTGAGGTAGATGTGAAGCATAATTCTTAATTTTTCATATTTTTCTCTCTGTGTTAGTTTGCGATTTGAAATAGGTGGTGCCAAATTTGTAATTGTAATATCTGTATGAGACACAAGTGGAGTTCAAAATAATTTGACATAGAATAAGCTCAGGTTCATCTTGAATTACATAATCAGGGGCAATATTTATCCAAGTTATATCCAGATTGTAGTAACAATATATGTCGGCATGGTAAAAGCATTGTAGAAATGTATCCACATGAACACTTTTCCAAGGACTTTATAATAAATCCCCGAATCGTTTAAATCTATATCTGTAAATATATCACAAGAAAGGGTTGGTATATTTATCAAATTACTAAGGTCAAGCTCTTTTAGTATTTTTTAAAAGCATTTGTAGTTAAAAGATCACGGTATTTGTATTCTGCTGATAAAGAGTTATATGGAAATGTTGAAACCCTTTTATTATTCATTATATTTTTATATTCCCTTTCAAAAGACATAGAGTTAATTATTGCTGATATATCCTTATAAAAAGTTTTTTGGTTGAAAATTTTGTTACAACCATTTTAAATTTTTGGTTAATCGACTCTGTACGATTATTAGTTGAATTAAAAAAATGAGGAGCAGATGATCTGTAGCCTAACCCACTCATTTTTGATTGGGTGCCAATTGGTATTATAATATTTAATAACATCGGGTAGATTTAAATGAACTAATTGTGAATATAAGTTATTATATTGATTATAAGATTTAGCATATACAAGGTTTTGTAAAATGCCTAAAACTGTTATAACTTCGTCATTGGTTATATTTCGTTTAGATGTTGTGATTTCTCTTTTAAAAGTTCTCATGACATGGAATATACATATATGAATTTCGGCTCTTGAGAAACTTTCATAAAGAGCATGCCTATCAGCAAAGTCTTTGTCTCCAATAATTACTTTAACATTATTAATATCATTATATTTTGCTAAAATATTACACATATTTTTTACACTAAAATAGGTTTCCCCCTTGACAAGCTATTAAGCCACAGTTTACACATTGCCATATCCATTATATGAAAAAGAATAATTTTTAAACATAGTTATTCATAAATCAGACTTACTAAAGGAATCATATAGCAGTGCATTTATTGCTCAATATAAATATAGTTGAGTTTATTATATAAGTAAATATGGACTGAAAAATAATCCCAGTCTAGAGGTATAAGAACCACATCAAGTCTTCGCAAGGAATGTACTTTTATGTTCTCAGTCTTTTTTCAGCTTGATATACTAATTGAGTGTTCTTTAGATATAGTCACATTTGTGAAAGATCATAAAAACCATGATTAAAGTTAGAAATATATATTTGTTTTTTAACTAATATATGATTTATACAATCAAGACAAGAAAATATTTCAGATGCTCCCCAAACAAGAAGGCTATCTCCAATTAAAAAAAATTATTGAGCAGGCTATCAGTTTTAAAGCATGTACTTAATTCAGGTCAGATGCTGACTTTGAGAGACATTCATAATATTTCTGCAAAGTTAAACAATCCATCAATAATATATTACTTGATGTAATAAATCAACTTAGGGATGATAATGGAGCTTGATATACTAGAAAATCATAATGAATTAAAGGGCATATAATTTAAAAATGCTAGCATGTTCCATCATCTTAAATATTATCCTGAGGTGATATTCATTGATGCAACCTACAAATTAAACAATCTATATATGCCACTTTTTATTTTAGTTAGGGGGAAACATATTTTTGTGTAAAAAATATGTGCAATATTTTAGCTAAATACGATGATATTAATCATGAAGTATTGGAGATGAAGACTTTGCTGATAGGCAAGCTCTTTATGAAAGTTTTTCAAGAGCTGACATCCATATACGCATATTTTATGTCATGAGAACATTTAAGAGAGAAATTACAACATCTAAACGAAAGATAATAACCAATAACGAAGTAATAACAGTTTTAGGTATTCTACAAAACCTTGTAATATGCTCAATCCGACGATCAATATAATAACCTTTATTCACAATTAGTCCATTTAAATTTACCCGATGTTATTAAATATTATAATACCAATTGGCACCCAATCAAAAATGAGTGGGTTACTGGCTACAGATCATCTGCTCCTCATTTTTTTAATTCAACTAATAATCGTACGGAGTCAATTAACCAAAAATTTAAAATGGTTGTAACAAAATTTTTCAACCTTAAAGGCCTTCTATAAAAATATATCAGCCATAATTAACTCTATGTCTTTCGAGTCAGAATATAAAGATATCATGAATAATGAAAGCGTTTCGACATTTCCATATAACTCGTTATCAGCAGAATACAAATATCGGGATCTTTTAACAACATATGGTTTAAAAAAAAATACTCAAAGAGCTTGACCTTAGCAATTTGATAAATATATCAGTCCTTTCTAGTGATATATTTTCAGATATTGATTTAAACTATTCGGCGATTCATTATATAATATCCTTGGAAAAGTTTTCACGTGGATACATTTCTACAATGCTTTTACCATATCGGATCAGATCGGTTTTTAAAAATAAGATCGGTCCGATCTGACATTTTTCTATAACGCTAAATATCGGTTCCGATGCCGATCCGATATTAAATATCGGCACAGCACTTGATATTTATTTGCTTCTCATTATTTTTCAGCTCCTAATCATTTGAAGCAGTTTACAATAAACATAGCCATAACAAAATTACTTCTTTCTTTTTTTTAAAATAAATCCGGGTCTGATTTAATAATTTGACCTAACCGTAAATTGTGCATTAAAAAATTCTTTCGATATTTTATATTTGATTTAGGAAGGAAAATTATCTGGAAGGGCTATATTGATATCGGGTCAACCGAGCACTGGCAAAACTGCCATCGCAATGGGTAATATAAAACTTATTATCTCGATGACATAATATAATATTCATCTGACTAACTTTTCTTAAACTTTTTAGCTATAAATATCATATAATTATACTTCATTACACATAATTGTTAAATATAGGTTCTAATAATTATTGATAATTTATAATAATATAATAAAATTTTAGGAATATATATATATATAGTGTTGCTTAATCGGCTAATTTTAGCCGACTATAGAACGGCTTAGCCGAGATTTTAGGTGAAAAAATCGGCTAAAATAAATTTGTCAAAAATTCTGCATCGATGCCTAGCATTAATTACTATTTATTTATTTTATTTATTTAATAACAAATAAACATGATATGATTTAATATTTTTTATTTATATTGTTTTATTTTGAAATGAAAATAAATTTATTTGGATATTTTTTTAATAAAAAAAATAATATAATTTATTAGTGATTTTCACAATCTTCTTTGTAAATACATCTTTTATTGAGGAATTATATTGTAAATTTTATTAGATAAAAAAACAATCTTTTAGGTGAAATCTTTTATAATTTTTTTTATCAATTTTGTAAAATTATCTATTTTTTTATTTTAAATGAGATGTTTTTTTTAAAAATAATTTTTAAAAAATTTTTATATTAAACTTTTTTGATGTTATTTTATATGATCTTTTTAAGGATAATATTTTAATGTGACAATTGTCATAATCATTTTTTTTAAAGTTTTTTGAATTTTGATAAATATATGTTAAAATAAGTATCGATAACATATTTAAATAAAATTTAGAGAAGATGTACCGTAGAAAAGTGACAATTATCATAATCGTTATTTTTAAAGTTTGTTTTTTTTGACGTAGATTAAAATAAGTATTGATAATATGTTTAAATAAAAATTTAGTGAAGATGTACCATAGAAAATTGACAATTGTAATAATCATATTTTTTAAAGTTTTTTTAATTTTTTTGACGTAAATAGGCTAAAATAAGTATTGATAACATGTTAAAATACAATTTAGTGAAGATGTAACGTAGAAAAGTGACAATTGTCATAATCGTTATTTTTAAAGTTTTTTGAATTTTTTTGACGAAAATATGTTTAAATAAGTATTGATAACATGTTTAAATTAAATTTAGTTAAGATGTACCGTAGAAAAGTGACTATTGTCATAATCGTTATTTTTATACTTTTTTTAATTTTTTTGACGAAAATATATTAAAATAAGTATTGATAACATGTTTAAATAAAATTTAGTGAAGATGTACCATGGATAAGTGACAATTGTCATAATCGTAGTTATAAAAGTTTTTTGATTTTTTTTGACGTAAATAGGCTAAAATAAGTATTGATAACATTAACATAAAACAACATTAAAAAAATCCAGGACGGGTCGGCCATGAATATATAAAGTACGGACTAAAAATCCTGGCCAGACCTAATTTTTTTTTAGAAAAAAGAAGCTGGGACGAAATTTTTATATTTTAAAAATTAGGGTCATGCGAATAACACCTCTACTGCTATCTCATAGATTAATTATTTACAAAAACCACATTTAAAAAATTCATAAACAACTCTTAATATGAATAAAAATCACCTTAAAAAATATTTAATAAAAAAAATTTATTAATATTTACATCAAATTTTATGAAAAAATAGAAAAAAAAATGTCGAGTTAATAATTAATTATTTATCAATCAAATTATCTTTAGCTTAAAAAAAGTATTTTAATTTCTTAACCTATAAAATTAATTATAGCATAATTTTAACCCATTTGCTTCAAAAAACTTAAAAATAACGATTATGACAATTTTCACTTTTATATGGTACATTTTCATGAAATTTTAATTTGACAATTTTACAATCTATATTTTAACATATTTTCGTCAATAAAATTCAAAAAACTTTAAAATCTACGATTATGACAATTGTCATTTATCTATGATACATCTTCACTAAATTTTTATTTAAACATGTTATCAATACTTATTTTAGCCCATTTACGTCAAAAAAATTCAAAAAACTTCAAAAACTACGATTATGACAATTGTCACTTATCTTTGGTACATCTTCACTAAATTTTATTTAAACATGTTATCAATACTTATATAATCTATTTTAGTCAAAAAAAATCGAAAAATTTTAAAAATAACGATTATGACAATTGTCACTTTTCCATGGTACATCTTCACTAAATTTTATTTAAATATGTTATCAATACTTATTTTAACATATATTCGTCAAAAAAATTCAAAAAACTTTAAAAATAACTTATGACAATTGTCACATTAAAATATTATCCTTAAAAAGATCATATAAAATAACATCAAAAAAGTATAATATAATTATTTTTAAAATTTTTTTTAAAAAACACCTCATTTAATAAAAAAAATAGATAATTTTACAAAATTGATAAAAAATATTATAAAAGATTTCACCTAAAAGATTTTTTTTTTATCTAATAAATTACAATATAATTCCTCAATAAAAGATGTATTTACAAAAAAGATTGTGAAAATTACTAATAAATTATATTAAAAAGAATATTACATTTTTACAATAGCAGCATATTATATTTTTTATTAAAAAAACATCAAATAAATATATTTATTTTCATTTCAAAATATAAGAATATAAATATAAAATATTTACATTAAATATAAATAAAATTAATTGTATTACTAAAATAAATAAATAATAATTAATGCTAGGCATCGATGCAGAATTTTTGACTAATTTATTTTAGCCAATTTTTAGGCTTATCACATTTTTAGGCTTAGCCTTATTAGGCTTAGGCTTAGCAACACTATATATATATACATTGAAGAATAGAGTATAGAAATTCTGCTTTACATGGATATTTATATATATATAGGAATATCCAAAGCGCTTGGTTCCGACACCCCTTTCACCAATATATCTGCGAGTGAAGTATATTCTCTAGATATGAATAAAACTGAGGCCCTGACTCAAGTCATAAGGAAGTCTATAGGAGTTCGCATCAAGTTTTAATTATTTATTATTCGATGTTTAATCAATATCATATTTAAATGTTTTTACTTATAGCTATATAGTGAAACTTTTATTAAAAAAAAAGTCATTTAAAACAAAGGTGTGGAACCTCACTATTTTAATATGTGCGCTTATATTCTTAAGTTCATTTTTATAATAAGAAATACAGTTTATAAATGAATCAGATATCATCTCAATTTGTATTTACAATTCCTACAAGTTGTTTAAAATCTAAATTTAATTACGTATTGTAAATTTTATATGAAATATAATAATATATTGAAAAAATATAAATAATTTATTTGCCTGGTTAATTGGTCCATGGATAAAATAAATGCAGCTGGATCTGCAAATTTTTGGTATGATATTTTGTTGACTTAAATATGCAATTTTTTTAGTAGGTTTCTTAATAATTTCTTATAAATTTTGTTTCCTTATTTTTTTTAATGAAAAAATGAATCGCTTTTTCCCAGGTTTTGTAGGACGGTTTTAACTAGGGTTGTAGCGATATTTTTTGATATTAATTTGGAGATTGGCACAAGATTAACAGATACTTTTTTTTAAATGTAATAGATCCACGAAAATCGTTAATTTTAATCAGTAGTCTAAACTTAAAAAAATATAACTCTCGTTCACGATAAATTGATAAGCAAGATACCTGTGGTGATCATTTTTTAAGACAAATTTTTATTTTCAATTATTTTTATTTTTCTTTCTTTATTTTATTTCAGACCAAAAATATTTATATTATCTTTTTTACAATTTCGGAAAAAAACATCAAAAAAAACTATATATATAAAATTATAATATCAAAAATCTATATCAAAATCGCGAGCGAAACTATATATAAAATCATCATAAAAATCAATAATATCAAATCGATATATATATTTTTTCTTTACACTTTAATCAATAACCAAATTTTAACACAAAAATCAATACATTTTCATATCATATTACAACAATACCATATTGTTATTTTGCTAAAATATAGTATCGAATGCATCTCACATTATTTTTCCATAGACGGACATGAAGTAAAAATGGTTCCAATTTCTGAATGTTTTTTTTAAAATAAACTTAACAGTTCCTAAAAATTTTTTTAAAAAAAATGATAGGATGGATCAGACTCTTAGATTTTATTATTTTTACAAAAGTTTGCATTACTGTTAAATTAAAGTTCTTAGACTGCTTACTATCTTGTCTTAATTTTAGTTCTTAAAAGTTCTGATATAGAGATGCACATTTTCTAGAAAAATTTTAGGAGAGTAAACTTTAACTCTCTAGAATTAAAGTTCCTAGACTGCCTGCAAATCGTCTTATTTTTGTTCTCAAAGTTCTGATACAGAGCTGCATATTTGCTGGAAGATTTTTTTTTGGGGAAATTCTCAAACAGTATTTATAACCTACTTTTACGTAAAATTCTAATTCTTTTCTGTAAAAAAAAATTTCATTCATGATGAAACCCCAATTTAAAAAAAAAATTATTTTTTTCAAACTCTGGTTCTGAATTTAAAAAAAAAAAATTTGCTTCGACGTCCATTTTTTTTTTTTTAGAAATAATATATTTTGTAAAATAGGCTTTTTTTTATACTTATTTCCTATTCAATTATTAATTTTAAATTTTTTTCATTTATACTAGAGGTCTGCAATAGGCGGTTTTTTTAAACCCGAGCCCACCCATGGTTTTTTATTTTATTTTACCCACCCATGCCCATTTATCTAAAAGCTTTGTTTAACCGGACCCGTCTAATGTTTAAAAATTATTTTAACGTTTGCGATTTGGCTCTTTATTTTATTTTAATATATCTTAAATCAACCTATAAAATATGCAATATTATGAAATTTTTTTTTAAAAAAAAAAACGATTTTTTTAAATAAATAAAAAGAAGGCCTGTACCCAAGTTTGACCGAAAAAGCCCGCCCATAGTTTTTAATAAATTTAACCCGCACCATTGCAAACATTTAATTCAGACATCTATTTAGAGTTTTTAAAATAAAATAAAAAAATTAGACGGCGCATGCCCCTTATGGTTTAAAATAAATAACTTTGATTATGATGCACGCACCTCTGTTTTTTTTTAACCAATCAAATTTGTGCTTTTTATTTTATCCATTATAAATAGGGAAGAAGCTGACGTGATCGAAGGAGAAGTGGTCGAGATTCAAATAGATCGCCCTGCACATTCTCCAGTAAAAATTATATATATATAAGAATTGAAATATTCTTATTTTACTAAATACGTGGTAATACTTAGAACAAATGAAGCGTATATATATATATATATACTACTAGATTGACGATTCCTTAATTAAAAGTGTTCATAGATAGGTGTCAGGCTGTAGCGCCATTTTGTGGTTTGCGCCTCGACTAATTGTCTTTATTTATATTTAAATTTATTGTTATACGAATACACCTTAATGCATTTAATCGGCGCGCGAACCATAAAATGGCGCTACAGCTGGATCTTAAGTGTAATATATGCATCATCGATAGAGATAAATGGTTTTATAAATAAAAGAAAAAATTTGAAGAAAATGTAGTATTTGTTCAAATAACTCGATTTCGCCGATTTTTGAAAATGTCTAATTTCAAGATATTAGCCCAAAGTAAATTACCACACCCAGGCTTGGAGATTTTGCCCACAGCTGATCGGTAAGGCTCGTACATCTTGGCTAAATTTCGGGGCTTTGGTAGATAATAATATTTTGGCTAAGATATTGAAAACACTAAAATTCGCGATACATAATTTGCCTAGGCATTTCGTGAGACTATTTAAATTAATATACACTAGATTTTCGGTTCGGTCATCAGTGAATCGAAAGATATTTCCCATGACAGGCTGACATTGCTTACTGGTGAATAAATATGATGTTTTTTTTACTCTACCTTTTCATTTATATATATATATATATTTAAAAAAATTAAAATAAGGCTCAAAAAGTAGGCAAAATAACGATGAAAACAACGGATATGGAAACCTTATACGACCTAGGCCCTAAAATGATAGAAGCCATGATCAAGGAAAAGATTCAGGCAGGGTATAATTAATTTTAAATATAAAAATATTAAAAGAAGGGATAATGTTTATAGAGAGCAACAAATACCGATGAATAATTTTTTAATATCTTATGCCAACATTCTCATTGACTCATGCCCCTCTCCTTAAAATAGATATAATTGGTCAATTTGTATATGATTGACATCTAGCCATCGAAATCCCACTCTTTCTACTTTAGTTTATGTTTATTTCATAATAAATTTTAAATATTATACACCCCTCGCGATTTATAAGCGACGTGATTAGCATCGATAAAAGTTCTGGAAAAATTCATAAATTGGGTCGAGCTATCAACCGTACCCGCGATTACGACGCCATGTCTCCAAATGTAATAAAATATTGTATACGAATTTCTAATTAGTGTAAGGAATTAGGAAGGGAAGGGTGGGATGAAAATGTTACTTTATAGGTGTTGTAGTTTTGTAGTTTTGTTATATATTTATATATATAATGATATATATGAAATGTCAATCATAAGTGATCTTTGGGGGAGTTGGGTTTTTGTTATAGTCAGATGGTCTTTGGTTCAAGAGTTTATACTTGAATATATGTTTATATTATGATTATGATTGTAAGATTAATATAATTAATGGGAATAAAGTTAATTTTTATATGATGCATATATTTGTTTGTATATTTTAGAGTGTGTGTTAGTGTTAGATGTTTAAGAGTAGGGATAAAAAGAAGTGAAATAACATGTTTTTCTTTGTTGTTTTTTATTTCGTTATTTTTAAAAAAACATGTTTTTTTACGTACCCGAGTAACGCGAGGGATAGATAGAATGTTTTTTTAAAGAAATGATGATAATATAAATGACCATCACCATATTTAGATCAAATTTGTTCGTTGCCCCGAAGGCGAAATACAAAAAAAGAAAGAAATCAGCCATACTGTTTCTCTGCACGACATAGACGTTATCAATAGTCGGACTCAAGGCTTTCTAGCCCTTTTTTCTGGTATGAATAAAAAAATATAATAATTTATATATCATCGCACGAGAATTAGATTATTCTATATCCACTTTTTTTGTCAAACATGGTTTCTTTAAATCAATAATTTATATAATTTATACCATTCTATTAATTTTTTAGTCACTTTTCAATTTGTTTTATTAGTATCTGAATAAGTTTAATTAATTTATTCCAAGAAAAAAATAATAATCATAATAATTTCTTATATTTACGTTCTCTAAAGAAAAATGTATTTTTGATTGACATGTTAAAAAAATATGAAATTATATCAACAATCGGCAACAATAACTCAAATTACATCCGATAGTAAAAGGCAATCCTATTTGGAAAACAATAGTTTAATTTTTTAAAAATTGCTCTCCCGTAATATATTGAAAAAAAAAGGTGGAGATAGAATATTATAATTTTCAGGCGAACGATATATTATAAATGTAGTCAAAACGGCTCGTTGTAAAGCCCATATCAAGTCTTTTACCCCAGAAATATAGCGCGAGCCTGAAGATTTTGTTCGCAGAAGTTACAGAGGACTAGACATATTTTAGCCAAATCTCGTAGTTTGAGCACTATTTTTTCTAGCTAAGATATTGAGTTAGCCCTTTTTTAATAATAGGCTCAAAAACGCTTATCACATTTTAAAGACGTAGGGGGTTGATTGGCCCTGGCATTATTCAGCCGGGGTTATCTGGAACAATTCACCCCCCCCCCCCTACCGAGTTACGAAATGATCTTCGGCCTGAGCACTGTCACAGCCCGGTGGTAATTTTTTTAAGATTTGGACAGGCCTCGCTGACCAGTTTTTTTTTAAAATTCATTTTATAATTGCGATATTAACTCAGGCTTAAAAAAGAAAATGAGTAGGAAGAAAATATAACGTTAATTGTTTTTTATAGTTCGGGCCACAGGCAGGGCCTATATTTTTATTGATGATGTTGACTAAGTTGCATTAGCGTACGCAGCGGGGGGAGCAGGAGGAAAAATCTACCCCCCCCCCCCCCAAATGCAGATGCCGGATATATTTTTCGAAAATATTATTTATTGTTTATATTAAGTTGTATTTTATAATATTCATTTTAAGTATATATTTAATTACATTTATTTATCACATTCATTTACTAAGTTGTTTTATCAATTAATTTCGATTTCAAGTTTTTCTTGGCGTAATATTTGTCTATTTTCTAGTCAAATAATAATTATGGACGTAAGAATTTTTTTTAAACATATTGATGATGATGAAAAACCTAGTCATCTTACAAAAAAGTAAAAAAGTACAAATAATTTTATAACATTTCATAATTAGCTTAGAAGTAAGACATAAGCTTCTTAAAAAGGTAATAAAGATACCTAAGATTAATATTTTATTTAATAATCGATTTATATTCCACCCCTCAAATTTCACGCAAACTTTATGTGCTAATTGAAAGTTAATATTTCAAAACAGCTATTTTACTAGATGGTTGGGGCTAGAATTCTCTATCCGAGACAATGGAGCTCATTGCAAGTTATGAATCCTGTTAGTTAAGTCAACAAGTACAAAGATGCTGGATAAATCTTTGTCAATAAAACAAATTTATCACAAACGTGGTGAACCCATTATTTCTTTAAATTAATTGTGGGGATATGATTCCCATTTTATCACATACTGACAAAAATATGATTAAAATAGCAAAAGAAAATAGAGATCAAGCTAACTATTGAGGCTATACTATATTGTGGATTGCAGGGCCCAGAATTACATGGTCATTTGGATTCAGGAACCTTGAATTTCAATAATAATTATAATGAAGGTAATTTTCGTGGTCTTGTAAAATTTCAAGCATTAGGAGATTCTGTAAACAGAATTATTTCTAAACTCCTTGTCCAACAAGGAGAAAGACATTGCAAAAAGCTTGTCCAACGAGATGGAGTCTTAGCCATCAAAACAGCTTTTATAGAGTTAGAAGAGTTGATTATTATGCTCTTACTGAAAAATCACACCTGAAGGAGATATATCCTCAGAAGCAAGCATATCATTGGTTTCAATACTTACTTTTTTTTCTCATTATATATATTATACTACTATTTTATGTATTTTTAAAAACATAACATTGACTTGATTGAAACGATGAGAATAGCGGAGAGCATTTTATTAGAACTCAGGGAAATTAGGGCTAATGTTGTTGAATTTCATATTTTATATGTTATTTTCAAAAGCAGAGCTATATGAGATTAACTTTTGCTCCCTCGACTTGCAGCGAGGCAAGCTCATCGTCCTAACATTAATATAGGGTCAGTAGAAGAGTATTATAAAATAAATGTCTTTATCCCTCTCTTAGATACATTTATAACCCAAATAGAACGGGTTTTAATTCATCAGGCAGCACTTAGCAGTCTGCAGATATTACTTCCACAAAATCCTTACCAACCTTTTTCAGATAGTAATAGAAAAAAAATAAAATATTTATCAGATTTTTTTCATGAAGATGTTAAAGTATCTTATGATGCCTTATTAGCTGAATGCCAACTATAGTATATAAAAGATTAACTATGGTTAATATAGTCCCAAAAAATGCTATGGATGTTTTGCATCATTTCAAACATCTTTAAGATTATTTTCCCAATGTATTAAAATTATATATATTAGCAACACTTCACATTAGTACTGCAACTAATGAGAGAATATTCCCTTCTTTAAGAAGAATAAAAACATACCTAAGGAGTACAACTTCTGACAATATATTGAATGGTTTGGCCCTTTTGAATATTCATAGGTATTTTACACCAAGCACAGATGAGATAATTGAATAATAAACCCAATCTCAATGGAGATTGGATTTTACATATAAATTTATAATATGCTTCTTAATTATTTATGTGCGAATTAATATTTTAATTATATTTTTTCATGAATACTTTTTAAGTTATAACATAGAAAATACAATTATTCCTAAGAAACTTGTGTAATAATTTATATTTCCAACATCTAAATTTTTATACTTTATATATAAATTTTAAAGGCTCAAATTTAAATTTCTATTTTGGGTCATTTATTTTATAGTGATTTCTGATTTATATGCTGGTTATATTTACTTAACATTTTATAATTCACATTTATATTATAGTTTTTCATATGCCGCCGGTTATATCCGTTTAATATTTTTTTAATTCACATTTATTTTATAGTTTTCTATATTAGTTATTATTATTAGTCCTAAAAAAATTTATGCTTGATATTTTTAAATAACAATGATTTTATTTAAAAAATTTTAATCCTCCCCCCCCCCCCCACACCAAATTCCTGCGTACGCGCATGCTAGGTTGACAAGCATAGGTCCCGTCACAGGCTGGGCCTATATTTTTATTAAAGATGTTGATTGGGTTGACAGGTATAGTTCGGGTCACAGGCCGGGCCTATATTTTTATTGATGATGTTGACGGGCAAGCCCTGCAGACTCTATGGGCAAAATATATTCCAAAATAAATATTAAATTATACTTCAAAAAAAAGAGTATTTAATATAAAATACAAAATATCATTTTTAAAATATAAATACTAATGTTGTAATTGTGTATTTTTACATTATATATATATATAACTCTATGTAATATCCAATGTCAATCCTATGTAATATCCAATGTCAATCAAATAATGTTTAAATGTAGATTAGTAGATTTTAAATTTTAATTATATATAATATCTTACGACAAATTTATACGATATGCATGTAAGACATCAATCAGTCACTCACTATGTATTGGTGAGATGAAAGTTATGATCTAAAAACCAATCCCTTTATTTTAAATAAATCGTAGTTATTTTGACTGATACGTTAGTGTTGTTAAACGGTGCCATTTTTAAACATGGCGAACCCAATATTTTGGCCATAAATATTACTAGAGTTGTTAAAGGATCTAGATATAAAAATGTGGTATCTTATCTGTATCTAGATAGATTTTTGATTAAAATATCTGTATCTAGATATTATTTTAGACGATGTATCTGTATCTAGATCCATTTTAAAAGTATTTTTTAACAACTCTGAATATTACACAAGTCCGGAGATTTTGCTCATAGATGGAAGAAGGGTTTGGACATCTATTAACGAATTCCCAAGACTTGTATAACATTTTTTGACTAAAATATTGGATTAGCCTTTTAACAACACTGCTAATATGTATTAAAAAAAAATTCGTAAATGGTATTTAAATCATCGTACAATTTATTAAATTACAAACATCAGGGGAAGTACCTAATTATTGGAAAAAGTATGAAAGCACTCCATTTAATAGTTTCTTATGCCTTAAGTTGAGCACAGAATTGCACTATAATTTTATTTCGAAAAAGGAATATGAAAGCTTTTTCTAGATGGCTCTGCTAAAAAAAATCAAAATATCAAGGGAAGGGTAAGAAGAAAGATTAATCATAAAAAAATACTCGAAAGAACTGGAATCTTCTTCAAAAAATCGATTTCTTTAGTTTCGCTTTCAGTACGAACTTCGCTCATGTTAATAAAATTGCGCGATTTTTTTTAAAAAAAAACGGCATACCCTATATTTTCGATAAAAAAAAATATTAGGCAAGTCTCGAAATTTCGTTCACCTATGAGCGAATCTCCAGGCTTTCTCGATACTTTTTGCCTAAAAAAATGTGGTGCTAGCCATCTTTTAATAATAAAGCCGTTTAACAACACCACGCGAAACGAACAAGATCCCTTTTTTTTAAAAACTCATAACACAAAATCTAATATTTAGATAAATAAATTGTGAATTTCACACATTTATAATTATAAAATTGAATTTATTATATAAAAACTATTAAATGTATTTGTATCTACATTTAAGTATTTAAAATACTAAATACAATAAGGGATAGTGCCCAATCCTTTACTCCACAATATATGTGAGACTAAAAAAAATGATATATAGTATTCTTCAAGTTTGGAACGATACTACATGTTAAATATGGTATATATATTTTTATTATACATTATAATACACCTAATATAAAAAATGAATAAGGTGACACTGGTGAAATCAAATCCGAGATCCGGGATCAAATCGATGCCAAAGTCCTGGAATGGAAAGAAGAGGGGAAAGCGGAAATTATTTCTGGAGTATATATATATATTATATAAATAGTTAATAAAATAGGGGGGTGGGAAAAGGTTATGGCTTGGAATATGAAAAGGTTTTTTAAAAAACAGGGGGAAAATACTAAATAGAAAACACCCTAAAATATTGTTTTAACGAAATTTTTAACATTTTAAAAATCGAATTATAAAATTATTTTATCGAAAAATTTGCATATATTTTCTTAAGGATTGTAATGGTAAAATCTTTAAATAAAACAAAAAAAAATCACATTTGTTTTATTTTCTCCTAAAAACGGGTTTTTATGCCTAGTTATGGTAAAACCCTGGTTATTTTGGTCCCAAGCTCAATTTTATTTATTTTTAACATTATTCGAGACTTAAACCTGTCTTATCTATTCCATGACTAAACAATATTTTTTTATATTATTTAAACCCTTCCCAAAAAGGCCTCATTTTTATTAAATAAACCATAGACCCCACTCCAGATTTGGTCCTACTTGCCGGCTTTTATCTTATGCTGGGTTGATCAATATTTTAAAAAAATAAGCTGTATTCGAATATAAATACAAACACACTCGGAAAACGGGTATTTGGAAATAAATACGTTTTTTAAAAAAAAATGTATTTAAAATACAAATACTAAATTTTAAAGAATATATGACAAAAGTAATTTAAATAAGGAATACTTTTTTGAAAATAGATTTTTTTTTATATAGTTACTAGTAAATAATATATATTATTTTTTATTTTATAAAGAGTTTTATTAAATTTTCTGTTACCGCTCCAGATTGCTATTGCAAATCATACTGGTAGGAATCTTTATCATATTTCCTCCATTTTTTTAGAGATAATTCAATTTAAATGCAAGTGTTAACTTCCCTCGCATCTATTAATATAATATTAATTTCAAATTTACTTTAAAAATTTTTCCTAGGGGATACGAGCATTCCCAATTTTTTTTAGCGATTTAGAACTTGTCCCTAATTTCCTAAAGGTTAAATAATTTCGTAAATACTATATCATATCATAAAATGGGCAGTTATTTTTATTTAAAATTTATATCACACAGACTAGAATTATCATTATAAATAACAACATATAAAACAATTAATAGTGCCTTTATTTCGTTGATTTATGAAGAAAAATTAGAACTTTATAACATGGTTAAAACTTTGCTAAAACATATTATATATACATCATATCTTAATTAATGAAAAAAAAATACTCGATAAATCTCAAATCTGATTCCTATATTTTATATCATCTATTTCAATTTTTTTTTATATTTCAATCTTGATAAAAATAAGCTAAAAATTAAGCTTCCTTTGTTTGATTGAGCATTATTTCCGGCTAAGGACTTATCTCAAGAATTTATTATGCAATTTTCTTTTTAATCTCCAAATATATTCATAATAACAAGCTGAAACAAGAAAAATAAAAATAAATATTTAGAATTAGCTAAACTACATGGTTTCCCCCAATCATATTATCAACAAACGGACATTTTTTCCTCTTAATTTGAGTTGAACAGTTTTTTTTATTCTTTGAAGTCGAATAGCAAGCTTCCTTTGTTTGATGAGCATTATTTCCGGCTAAGGACTTATCTCAAGAATTTATTATGCAATTTTCTTTTTAATCTCCAAATATATTCATAGTAACAAGCTGAAACAAGAAAAATAAAATAAATATTTAGAATTATCTAAACTACATGGTTTCCTCCAATAATATTATCAACAAACGGACATTTTTTCCTCTTAATTTAAGTTGAACAGTTTTTTTTTATTCTTTGAAGTCGAATAGCTATTTGTCTGAAACCTTATAACTCATTTTTAGCGAGATTGGTAAGCTGAAGCCTTTTGAATTTCTCTCTTTAGCCCCGCTCTCATTTTTTGCTCTAATTGATTGGGATATGCCCCCCCCCCCTTCCAAAAAAAAGCGGTTCGACAAAACCTTTTAAATCCACGAAAAAAAATGAAAAAAAACATAAATTTTTCAGTATTTTTTGCAATAACTTAATTTATTTGTTGTATTAAAATACATGATTAATGGTGATTTAAATTTGTATTTCCGGATCCGTTAAAAATCTATACTCTAATATTGATGTTTTTCTTATTCCATTTTTATATAATGTAATTTTTTTTTAACATGAAAATGATAACAAGGTACTTTTCATAGACGAAGTCCATATGTTGGATATAGAATGTTTTTCTTTCTTGAACAGAGCTCTCGAGTCAGATCTTGCCCCGGTTATCATCATCGCTACCAACAGGGGAATCACCAAGTATATCATTAAATTTCCTTATTTATTATGTACGATCTACGTTTGTTAAAAATCCAAACTTTAACCGTAATTCTATCATTTTATTATATAAATTTCTACTAGAATCACCTTGATAGTTGACGTCTACCTCTTTGTCATTTATAATAGACTTTTTTGTCTAGGATTGACAGGATATATAATTAAATTTCTCAGGCCAGGAAATATATATTGTAATATTTCTGGCAAAAAAAACCATGAATGATTTTCAAATGTACTTAATATCTATAAAAATATTATTAAGAATCTCGAATCTTCATAGTTTATTATCTTAATTAATAAACAATATGGGTAATTCAATCTTTGGAAATCTTGGTTATTTTTTGGGAGTCGAAGAACAATAAATTATATTCATCCATTTATCAAAAAATATGCTTTGCAAATGGTACCTCAGCAGGTCTGGGGTGCAGTGTTGTTAAACTGCTTGTTTTTGAGCCGATTCATAAAAAGGGCTCACGATTTAGCCGTTTTTAAAAATCGGCTCAAAATGAGCCGTTTAACAACACTACTATTTAAAATATATATATTAAATTTATTTATACCAAATATAATACGTTTTTATTGCTAAAATAGGATGCATAAAACATATTTAAATGAAAATCGTTCATCATTCCATAACTTATATAATTATAATTCAAAGAAATATCTAATCATAACATATTAGAATAAGGGGAACCGATTACGAAAGCCCGCACGGAATACCTGTCGATCTGCTAGATAGACTCTTGATTATTCACACCCAACCTTACAGTGAGGAAGAAATCAAGGAAATATTAATTATAAGGTTACTTTTCTTTTTTTTAATTTAAAAAATAAATAAATATTATATACCTAATTGTTTTACCAGACTTAATAAAGATATTTTTTTTAAAAAATGAGTATTTGAAAATTTTTGAGCAAACGAAATCGAAATTTGAAGCCTAACCCATCTCATTTATAGTTGGCGCGAATTTGCGAGCCAAGTAAAGAAAATCTTCCACTACGAATTTGAGACTAAGTTAATTTCAAAATATGCCGTATTTTTTTTTGTGAATTTTATATTACTTGTCCGCCAGTTCGGGATAACTGTGAATGCAAAGATAACTCACAACAATATATTTTAGATTAAAATTCAAAATCTTTTGCGAGTTAGCATATTGACATTTTTGAGGGTGTAAAAAATTTTTCGCGATCAAATCTTTTTTTTTTGATGGTTTGATCATAATTCAAAAATATTTTTGATCGGATAATCTTTTTAATTATAAAACTTTTTAAATTTTTGTTCACGAAAAAAAAAAGTATATAATTATTTTAAAAAAATGTATGGACCATAATTTTGGTATGGTACACTTAACTAGCTGTAAATATGACAGATTGTCATAATTTTGATTCTTCATTTTTTATTTAATAAAAAAAAAGTTATAAAGAATTGATTATATTTTTAGTATGTTTTAATATAATTTCAAATGTATTAATAATTAAGGTACGATACTCATCTTAACATTTTTTTAAAATATAGTTTTGTTGGATAATATAGGCTAGAATAAATATTTTTGCGTCTATATAATTCCAATAATTATAACCAAATATGACCTTCAAATTTATTAAGGGGAAGGGTGGGGTCATTATTAAAAAACAATATCTTGTGTACTGTTAGTATATTTAAAAGAAATCGTTTAATTTATTTTATGAAAATTGATAGAATCAACCATTTGAGAAGTGATGGGTAAAGGAGGCCTATCTAACACCTCTAAAAAAAAATTTTTTAAGCAGCCCCCCCCCCCCCACCTCAAATATTAGCCTTTTGTAAAATTAATTTTATGAGTTTGCCATTAATTGAAAATTTTAGTTTTTTTACCACCCCCTAAATAAAATAACCAGTGGGAGCCTCTGGGATGAATATCGCTTAATTTAGATATTTTTATTTTACTCATTTTAATGTTTTTAAAACATGGGAAAAAAACGATTATGACAAATGTTACATTTGATAAAAAATTATTTATTTTTAAAGAAAATCTTCATTTGTTTATCGTGATTTTGTGAAACCCTGGTTTTTTTATATGACAATTATTTAAGTGGAGAAGCATTTTTATATGTTTATTTCTTTCTTTCCCATCTTCAAATTATAAGATGTAACGAAGAAGACGTAGCGATAGAGGACGATGCTATGATAATTCTAACTAGGATCGGCATGGAGACGTCACTCAGATACGCCATTCATTTAATCGCTACTTCTCATTTAGTTGCTCGTAAAAGAAAGGTAGGTTTTAGAGGGGGAAAAAAATTATTGTTATTAAAATAACTGGTCTTTTTTATAAAAAGTCATTTTTTGAAAAAGTGGTTATTGAGTTTGAAATGATTGTTTTAAAATCGACTTTAGAAAAAAAAAATTCCTGAATGAAATTATTCGTTAGTATCACGAATAATATATTGTTATTATTCGATTCGTATACAAATACGAATATTCGAGTCAATTTTATTTTTGAAAAAACCGATTCGGGTCGATTTTAAAAAACGGCCCGGTTAAGATTATAACTAAAATAACATTATGTAAGCCCAAAGACTTTGCTCATAACTGACAGAAATGCTTGGACATCTATTCGCCAAATCTCGATGCTTAACATAATATTAATTTATAGCTAAAATCTTAATCGGGCCATTTTGAGAAAGCTACCCAAGTCTGGCTTTTTAACTCTCTAATGATGAACATATTTAACAGATGTGAGATGAACAGCTATTAGAAGCCTTGTTATTTTTCTAGAGGGAAAAAAAAAATTAATTTTAAAACATTTGTAAAATATTCCTTTTTGTTTCCACAGGCCGACAAGGTAAACATAGAAGATATCAAGAGGGTTTACTCCTTATTCATAGACGAAGCCAGATCCACCCAATTTCTCAAAGAATACCAATCCGAATTTCTTTACAATGAAAGGAACGATATCCCGGTAAAATAATTTAATTAGTTATTCTATCAATTTGAAACTATTTAAATAATTTTTGATATTAAATCCAAATTGGTACTACGTATTTCTCGTTTAGTCTTTTTTTTTACTTTCTCTTTGTTGAACATTTTGAGTGAGAATATAAAAAAAACCCATTGAGATTTCGATATTTATGGTTAATATAAAAAAAATGATTCAGGGTTTTTAATCTTAATCACTAATTTTGACTCCAGATTGGTTTCAAATCGGGACAAACACAAAACAGATTCAGGAATTTTTTTTAAATCAAATTTCGTACAATTTAAATTTTTTTCCCCCATTCAAAGTTCGGTAAAAATTTAAATTAAGCAAGCACTATTTCGGCTGGTGTAAAATAAAAATGTATATAAACAGATATCAAATTTTAAATCGCAGGAAATATGTCATAATTAATAAATTATCAGGTTCATAGTTTCATTAAGCCTTAAGGCGTGCTCTAATTAAATTCAATCATGCTAAGAACGATTGAAATAAATGTTTATAAGAGTATATATTGTTTTATCCCTTAATTTTATAATGAGGAAACAACTTTTTAACAAAAACAATGTAGAAAGAAAACGGTGCTGGCGGCGACTCAACAACATATAAAAACGAAATAGAAATGGAATCTGCTTGAATATCTTCCTATTATAAACAATATATAAATTCATAATATGTAATAAATTTGTGTAAAATAAGGATATCCGAAAACAACCCTTGTACTATATAATAAATGAAATAAAATGTGTTTTTTATGGAGGGTAAAGCTGAAAATAAATTCCCAATAATATTTCTTAGGAAATAATTAACCAGAATTGATTTTCTCAAAACTTTTAAATATTTTATTTGGGAATTTTCGTGGACATATTTATAGGGAATTTTTTTCTCCTATTTTATTAATTTTTAATATCTTTAAAAATGGGGATATTTTAAATTATTTGCCAGAATTAAATCTTAGATTGAAGTATTTTGCGAACGAGTCGTAGACATTATTGTTTAATTTATCGTTTTATTAATATCAAGAAATTATTTTACAAAAAGAAAAATCAGATATATCTAAACTATAAAAAATTCAACATTATTTTAAACATAAAAAAGATTAATAAAGATTTTCAAAATTATTTTACAGGAAAAAATAAAGTATATCTAAACTATAAAAAATTCGTCCCTTTTATAGGGAAAATAAAAGGCGCAATTATAAATTAAAATTAAATTGGCGCAAAGTGAAAAAAAGAACGTTTTTGTGGAATCGAGTTGTGTTAGTTTTATCGTACATAATTGGGGATAAAACCTACCCCCCTAAACTTCCCGAAACTCAAAATATACCTTGGGATGCAGGGTGGTCTCCCGGACCCAACGGTCTAACTCATATTTTCGGATCACCTTACTGAGGACTTCTAAAGTAAGAAATCCAGTAAAGTGAGAGAAAACACACAAGCCATATGTGTTAATCTCACTGTGTTTAACTTAAAACAAAAATTACCAAAAAAAAGAAAAACATTTTTTAACTTTCATTTTATGGTACACAAAGGAGATGGATAAAAAAACTTTAATTAATTTTAACATAAACAAAAGAGGGGGATAAAAAAACTTTTACATCTTACACATAATAAAAGAGGGGGATAATAAAACTTTTTTATCTTTAACATAATAAAAGAGGGGGTTTAAAGAAAACCTTTTTTGATAAAAGGCAGAAATCATTAGAAAAGATTTTTGTCCTTTAAATTTAAATAATATTAAAATTAATCGTACGAGTTTCTAAAAAAATTATTATCTAGGTTAATGCCGCTTATACAAACATTCATAATAATAAAATGTTGCAATTAATTAAAACTCTTAAAGAAAATATGGTTAAAATTATAATAAATGTTTTTACTTAAAAAAAACAATCGATTTAAATTAAATTGATTTGCTTACCATCGTTATTTGACCAGGATCTTTAGTTTTCAACGGTCTGATTAAGATATTAGCCAAAATAATATTAGCCCGGATATTTTGCTCATAGGTGGCACAAAGGGTTGGAACTCTATTTGGCGAATCTCGAGGTTTATATAAATTCTTAATTGCCGTTTTTAAAAATCGGGCCATTTAACAACACTACTCCTTAAGTATCAGGGCGTTTTTTGGTCATTATATGTCGCATTTTCCATGGCTCCATAATTATTCCCATTTTTTATTGTAGTAGACGGATGATAAAGCCCACGGGTTACTTATGGTTGTAACCCCCCCCCCCTCCATATTTTGATCAGTGCCATTACTGTGATAAACTTCTGTAATTGGCTTTTACATCGTTAATAACGATAATCCTATTCCCTTAAGCATAGGGAAACCTCAAACAAAAAAGGTGGGATATATTTTTTAAATTTAACATTAAATTTCATAAGAACTCGCATTTAATTGTTAATTATATTCGTATTTTCATCGAGGTGTTAAATAATTTGTAAAACATTGCCTACCATTAACAGCTTTTGGGCCTTTGAGCCTTAAAATTTCCACAAAAAAAAAGACTAATGTTCTTTATTCCATTTATCACATATATAATAATTAATAAATTAAATATATATACATATTATATTCATTCATAAAAATTAACCCTTGTCAGTTAACCATTTAACACGGGGTTAAGAGGTATCCTAATTAAATACCATTTTTTTATATGACTTTATCGCCAAATAATATTTTTTATAAAGGTTTTATGATAAAAAGTCGTGATTTTTCATATCTTCTTGTTTCTCCACATACTATCATTTTCTAACATGTCCGAGATATCCTCGTAATCACTCTCCTCTTCCTCGCTCGAAGATATACGTTCTTGACTAGATGATACCCGTTTTCCTAGCTCAGCTGATGTAGGATTTTTAATGGTTATAGTCGTTTTTTTGATGTGTAAACTTTCTATTTGGTTCCATTTGTGACTTAATTACAAGTAAATAAGTGGTATATATTTAGGTTAAAAAAAATAGTTGTTAAATGGCTATCCCAATATCTTAGCCAAGAATATTAGGCAAGCTTGGAATCTTTGCTCATAGATGGTATAAATGTTTGGACACCTATTAACGAAATCTCGCGGTTCATGTCTTATTTTGTGGCTAAAATATTGGGTTAGCCATTTTTTAAAAATCGAGCCATCATTTAACAACATAAGTATACACGAAAATTCCATAAATCAAAATTATATCTAACATACCATTGTGTCAATTAAATATGCAACCAAGAAATATGATATATATAATATAAATACATCTGATCTTCAATCTCTTCGATTTCGTTGGCTATGTTAGTTTTGTCTTCCTCCTCCTCTTTCATTTCTTCGGATAGCTAACAAAAAGAATACGGTTATTATACATAAAGTGGAATAAATGCATTCTACCAGTAATTTCTTTTGAAACGTTTAATAATAGGTCGAGAATACAATAAATTCTTATAAAAAAAATACTTCTATCAATCAACTTTTATTTTTAATAGATATTATTTGATTTGACAAGGTTGGTGAACTCTCTAAAAAAGGATTCGGATTTGGGTTCAGTTAAAAATCCCTGAACCAGGTTCGAATATCAGATAGGTTCGGTGTCCAGAAATTTTTTTAAATTTGTATAAAATGGATACATAACTAATATAAATAAGGATTCCACGAAAAAATGATTTTCACAAAAATTGCTTTTAATATTGAAAATAAATTTAAAAAAAACATTTATGTTTTAAACGTTTAATATGTGATTTTTTAATACTGTTAAAATAATAAATAAAGTAAATTTAAAAAAAATAAGGAATAAGATGAATAAAAAATTTTTTTTAAAAAAAGAATACCTATCTTATGAATTTGTATATAATTTTTCCTTTAACTTTCGACTCATTTATAATTTGTATGAAAAAATCAAAAAAATAATATCTATTATTATTAGGTTCAAAGGCAAAATTATCTGAAATTAATATATTCCATATATGATTGGAATAACATTTCAGGTAAAAATCAGATTTTTTTTTAAATTTAAAAAAAAAGAAGTGCTTCAAAAAATGTTTAAAAAAATAACACATCGCAGCTAAGATACACAAAATATAATTTCACTATATATTATTTAGAATTGTAAAATAAATAATACTTTGGATTCTTCTTGCACTACTAACCTTTGAAACATTCTCCATTCGTCTTCGAATACTTCTTGAGGCATTTTAACTCCTCTTATCTATTGGTGTGTTGTTTTTTTTTTAAAAAAAAGTTTTATAAAATGTTTAACCATCAAAATATAAAGACAACAATTAATTTTTTGGATTTCATAATTATATAAAAATTAAGCAAATGTATGTTAATTTTTGAAAGGATAATATAATAAAAAGTCAAAAAAAAATTATTTAAATAAAAAGGTTAAAATATAAGAATTTTGTAATTTTGGTTAAACTTTGGCATCAAGCTCAGGGTCGTCAAAAAAACCTTTGGGTATTATAGCATCAACAGTTGGGCTTTGTTTAGTGTTCTGGATTGGCTGTTCATCTACAATTTCCTCTAAGGATTATTTTTAAGAGATAAAAAGTTGTATAAATAAGAATAGGAAGATAAAAATTTCTTGACCCCATAACAAGTCTGAAATAAAATTAATTCTCCATATTCCCTACCTCAAAATTAAAAAATATATATAAAAAAAATTACCCTAAAATTAATATCTTTTTTTAGTATATTATAAGAAATATTAATAAAATGAAGGAAATAATAGAATAATATGTAATCAATTAAATTCAAAATTGTAGAATATTTTCAAACCCAACCAAGCTGAAAAAAATATCCCAACCTTACCCCCCAAATAAATTTCTTGACTCAACCCAGACATTTTCTAGTCAATTTTTTTTTGAGGTATTATATTTAATTTATTCCAATATAAAGATATATGGATGTAGGTGCAAGAGGTATATGTTGGATAAAATTTAATTTTAATGAGGGCTATAATCCAGTGACAAAGCGAAGCATTGATTCTCTCATCCTTTTTCCTAAAAAAATTCTTAACTAAAATTGATATTATTTTTACTAAATTAATTGTATATTTTTATAACATTTAAATCAATCTATTTTGATTATATTTTGATGTTAAAATGAATTTATACAATTTTAACATTGATAATAAAAATACATTAAAGAAATAAATAAAAAATTGTTTTTTTTTTAATAAATAAAGTCTCATTTTTAAAACAATAATTTATTTTAGAATGAGTTGGGTCAAACATTTATTCAAAATATCTATTAACTCAAGAAATTTTGATATGTTTAAATTGATTATTAAAAGAGGAAAATCAACATTAATTTGACAAAACCTAGAGAAAAAATTTTCATCCTAACTATGACTTAAAAAATTACAAGTACAAGAATACCTATTTTCACTCTTTAACAATTATAAAAACTTATTTAAAATTACATGATGAGTCGTCATTCTATCATTGATTTTAATTTAAAACAAATTATTAAATAATTAAAATATCACAATAAACTTTTATAATTAAGTACTTGCGCATTTTACTCAAAAACAAATTTCACTCATTTATATGCTAATATTTTCATGGTAGTTTTGCAAATAAAAATATTAATTCTTTCCTTACCATTATAGTTAATCTAAATTTGAAATTTATTTCTATTTTTGAAGTGAATTATAATGTAAAATGTGAAGGAAAAATATAAATATAAAGTTTTGAATAGTAAACCTGGTTGAATCCTTAAATCTAAGTGTGTGATATTTTCACTGACATCAGAATTATCATCAATGGCAGAATTATCTTTGGAATCAAAAAAATCTGGAGGTAGAGGTATATCAATAACATTATCATTGTTAGTTTCAGTATCAGATTTAGCTGACTCAGGTTGTGGTAAGCAAGGTTGAGTTGATATTGATTCATCCTCTAAACAAAATTTTAGGAAAGAATATAAATTTTCATAAAAATTAAATATCTTATTACATTTATAAACCTTTAATTCTTTTAACAAGTACACAAGATTCATCTGTTTTGCGCTTTAGTATTGATTTTTTTGGAACTAATAGGGATTGTGTGGGTAATGGACTGTCTGAAACTTGGGATGGCATTCTAAAATTATTTATAGGGCTGTTAATGAGCTCTGAATTTAATTCTTTGTTTTGATTAGATATTTTTTTAGGCACTAAAGCTGCATTTTTTAATTTTTCAATTGCCTATAATATTTAATCATGATATAATGTTGTAAAAGAATGCTTTAACTTCCTTGTGAGATTTTGCAGCAACGTGAGAAGGCCATAACAATTCGCCTTTAATCTTAACATCACAAATTTTACAACAAAGTCTTCCTAATGAATCATATGTATATTTAATATAAGTTAAGGAAATTATAATTATAATATATTGTCTAAAATAAGTAATCAAAAGGATATTTTGCAAATGGTGATTCTATTTTTGTGGTTTTTGATATAGTCTTTTTGGCTAGTTTTTGCAGCTCATTCATATTAATCTTCTTAGTAACAGCCCCTTTAGAAGTCATTTGAATTTTATTTTCTCAAAAAGAAAAAAAAAATAACCGAACTCTGAAAGGGGTAAAGTTATAAATATTTAATTATTATTTTTTAAAAAAGCCCGATTCGGGCTGATTTTAAAAAAACCGCCCGATTAAGATTATAACCTAAATAACATTATGTAAGCGTATTGCACATACGTGGCAGAAACTTTTGGACATTATTTGCCAAATCTCGATGCTTTCATAATATTATTTTAGGGAAAACCTTAGGCTGCATTCAGTGGAGTCGGATCTGTTTTTTACATCCGTTCCGTCAAAAGTCAATCTCACTAAAAATGATATATATGTTCAAAGTGCGTCCGTTTTAATACCTTCCGTCTTTAAACAATCGGCTAATTTTGAAGTAAAAACATTTTGACTTTTTGATCCGGCAAATTATATAAAGCGTCATAACGCTTATAATTTTTTAAAATGAAAATCAATATATATATCATTTTTAATGAGATTGACTTTTGACGGAATGGATGTAAAAACGGATCTGTCTCCACTTTGAATGCAGCCTTAATCGGGCCGTTATGAAAAATAGAGCCTTTTAACAACAATACTTAGACCTTCAGCATCTAAGTAGTAGCTTTAAAAATGAATGTGATACTAAATTTAATAATTTTGCAAAAAATAACGGAGCTTACCATAATCCATTTTCTTTTATAAACTGGACAGTATAAAAATTGTCCAACTGGATATTTTAATAAGCAGCTTTCCAAAGGATAAGAGTAATAGTCATCTCCTAAACTAAGACTTTAGATTTTGTTATGTGGGTTAAAGTTAACTTGTATTTTAGATTAAATTTTTGATATATTTAACTATAGGGATATTTTAAAATAGTTAAAAAAGCTATCGGGGAAAAAATTGATATTACTTCCTTTTGAAATTAGAATTTCAAGATTTAGTTCCAAAAGAGAAATTCTTATAAAGTTTTTAGAACTATAAATTTTGTTTGCTTCGTAGACAATTTAAAATAAGAAAAATATAAAAACTATATAAATATTGCAAAAAAAAACATATAAGAGGGAGTGAGGGTTGGAAGACAAACTAGACGCTCATGGAGATCCGGATTAACATTATTCTGAAAGATTTTATAAGGGGATATTTATGCAAAAAAAAAATAGTGTTGTTAAAAAGTCCGATTTGGGGCGTTTTTAAAAACTGCCCGGTTAAGATTATAACCAAAATAATATTGTGTAAACGTGGTGATTTTGATCATAGATGGCATGAAGATTTGGGCTTCTACTTGCCAACACAATAGTATTTTGGTTAAAATCTTAATCTAGCCGTTATTAAAAGTCGGACCTTTTAACAAAATTATAAAAATGGTTCCAAAAAGGGATAAATCAAAAATCGAGACAAATTATTTTCAGTCTTTTATAAAAATAATATTAAATTGTACCTTTAGGGTAAAAAGCTTAATTAATTTTCATATTATTTTGCCTATTAATTTAGGTCGATCAAACAATTAAATAATATACAACAAATGGACTACAATGTTTAATTGATTAATCTTCAACGAAAATATACTTAAAAAATTTTTTTTTTAAAGTTAATAACTTATACAAATTAAATTTATGGGTAGAGAACGCATAAGAATTTTGTAATTTTGCCAATATTTAATTGATTAAATAAATTTTGTGTCATTGAAACTAAAAAAAAGTATCTTTCATCGTTTTAATTGATTTAATTTTACTATACCTATAGTTTTTCCATTCTGAATTATAAGTTTCAGAATCATCGTCATCAGATGGAGAAGCTAAATAATGTAATAATGTATTTAATAAAAATAAATTTACAATTCTCAGAATTCTCCAGATCATGTATAACAATTATATCCGCCTTTTTAGCCATCATATAAATATTTCGAAATTTAGATATTTCTTCAAAAACTTGACTCGAATTCAAATAGTAAAATTCACAGTTAACAAATGTCTTTTCGGCCATTCCCTTTTGGGTAAAAATTAAGTTTGATTTAAATATTTTATCGATTCATGATTAAATCTCTCATTTAATAGTATTATTATCAAATCAATTGGGGAATAAAACATACTAGTTTTATGCGTAAAAATGTTGGTACACCACTCGGGACATGTTTTAAGCACTGCATATCTTCTAAAACCACTAAAATGCACGTGAATCTCGTCTAAGATCTTTAAAATATTTTTTTGTTTTCTTTTATTGATTGACATAATTTAACAATGATTAAATTTAATCTGTAATAATAGCATAAAAATAAACCTGCCTTTAGGGAGCTTGTACTCCATTGATCCTTTCACTCATGTTTTCTAAGCACTATCATAGCTTTTCCCAATTAAGAACCAAGGGATAGATTTATGGAGTTAGGTTTGCAATTTTATATTTTTTTAACATCAAGCCCAGTCGTGTCACGCGTACAATATATATTTATTAATCTTTCAACCGGCTTAGACGTTTCACCATTTTTAATATATCTTACCAACTAAGCTATTGGTTCTGATTTCGAATTATCAAATGTACCATCAAATATCAACTATAATAATTAATGCTAGATTCAATTTCTTTTTGAATTTTTTTTTTATATATAACCATATTATTCATGGTATTTATATTATTATATGATAAAAGATAGAAATACAATTTGGATTTTAATCCATGTTTTATATTCCTTTGTTTCCTAGTTTTTTCTTCATCTTTAATTTGATATCATTTGTGTGAATATTTTGTAAAAAAAAAAATTAATAAAATACCCCATTTAAAATTTTAAAAAGCAATGACTTTCTACCCGCTCCGCTGTAAGGGCCATTGCAGGGGCGGCCGACTAAAGCTGGTTAATAAAATAATTATTAAAAATTGAATAGGTTAGGCTACTATTTCAATTTTTCCATAGACTTGGTCTGGACTGATTAAGATCTCGAGTTATTATTTATAAATATTTCGTTAAAATTTATTCAATGATTATTTTAGTAGATCTAATGTATGTATACATGTAACGCATTTATTATATAAAATATATTTTATAAATTTTATTTTCGTATTATATTTCTAAACATAGATCTTTATCTAGAGTGCTCTTTTACAAAAGAATCCCACACAAATTGAAGGGAAATATTTACAGTTCCATAGTACAACCAACTATTCTATATAGTTCGGAAACATGGCCAACCAAAGAATCAGACGAGAGAAATCTACAAACAATGGAAATAAGAATGCTGAGGATGATTGCTGGGGTAACAAGAAAGGATAAGATGCGAAGTATATGATTACTAGGAAGTTTAAAGGTAGTGCCCATTAAGACTAAGATAATGGTAAACAGACTTAGGTGGTATGGGCATACAATGAGAAGGCCTATAAACTACATAGGAAATAAGGTTGAGAGTTTGGTAGTGATGGGCAAAGGTAAAAGAGGAAGGCCAAAATTTCAATGGGGCCATCATAAAGTTAGAGCCAATACGAAGAAGTATAAATTAGATAAACGAGATAGTATGAATAACGTAAAGTGGAGAGAGATATTGAAGGAGTTTACCACCAGAAACGGTTAAAAGCTAAAAAAAATAAATAAAATAATTGTGAGAAATATTAAAATTCTAAAATAATTTTATTTTTCTTTTCAATTTTACTCTAGTTGCAAAATATATATTTTTTTAACGTTCACTATCACTACATACAAATTATCCCATTTAACGGTCAAACTTTTTCCAGACAATAAAAAATGCCAATCTTTTTTTTTAAAATATCATTTATTATAGTCTAATTTAGAAATCCTATAAAAAAAAATCAACAAGCTCAACTTTTTAGACGCGTGTTGCCATTAAATGTTAATGCGCAAGCGCTTGATTTTGACTTTTCTTAAAAATTTGCATCCATTTCACAGAATTTAATCGACAGAAAACTAATTTATTTGAGACAAAACACCTAAACAAGATGAGAGGCATGGCGGTTTTAATACTAAAAATTTTAACTCCTAACAAATGACCTCATCATAATCTTGGTAAAACATTTTGTTAGTAAAAAGATATACATCAACCATCGCATTCATAGTTATCTCCAGCATATAGTCTGCCACCGAAATGTAGAAAAAAAGTTATTTAGTGCCCATATGATTTTTTTTTTAAAGTGAAAATCCAGAAATATTTTTATAAAAATATAATCTAGCCAAAAAATAAAAATTCATTGGGAAAACACCTAACATAATAGTACTTCCCCCCCCCCCCCTCTACTAGAAAAATCCAAGTTAAATATATGAATCTGTATTAGTCTGATTCATTTATCAATATTAATAGCTATATATAAACTGCCCGCATATAGAATCAGATATTTTTAATCAAAATTTTAAATTATTATAAGTTTGATTTAAAATTTATCTATTATAATATAACAATAATAATAAAAAAAAAATTAATTATTTGAAATATATTTAATATAATAATATATATGAATATTTTAAGGAAGTAAAGAGTTACATTTAGCAGTTACATTCCAAAAGATATTTTTCATTACTTCAACACAACACTATAATTTAGAATTAAGATTATATCAGTTTAAAAGAAGATAGGGTTAAATGTCAACTTCGAAAGGAGTTTTGACCAGAAATAGTTGGGATAACAACATTAATATTCTTGTTTATTTACAGACAGGCTAAAGTTAAATTATTATTAATTTTTGTTCAATTATAATATGAATCCAATCCATTATTATTAAAGATGGTTTATATAATTATATATTTTTTATTTTTTACACGATTATCAAGAAAAAAATATCATAAATTCATATATTAGTATTACCATAAATCATAAAATATGTTTTTGTTATTAATATATTTTTATTATTATTATTATTTCCCAATAGAATAAGCTAATTTCGCATAATTATGTGAATTTTTATTGTTCTTTATTTCGTAATTATTGGTAGTGAAAAACGTTTTTATTATAATATAGACGAGAGAATATATGGGTAAAGCGTAAATAATTTTTCTAAAAAAAATTTTTTTTTCCTCGTGCGGATAAATTTTACTCCTGAACATTCATATTCGGATGAG